GTTCACTTGTATTTATGATCAGTAGGGCTGAGCACAATATGATTTGAATTTTGAACAGAATGAACCGACAAAACCGCCCTATATTAAGCAGTTCAGTTCGGTTCCAAGAGTGAATCGGTTCGGCTCGGTTTAGGATATTTGTGAGTCAGTAACACCAAAACGGTGAAACTGACTGACTATACTTCGCACTCTCCCATGTGCCCACGTGAGATATTGTTTGTTTCAAGTTCGCAAGCGGGCCCATCAACTTGCCCAGATGAGATTTTGTTTCCAATTTGCAATGCGCCCACCCAGCACCCATGTGATCTACCAACTTATGTGAGCTGTGAGCCACTTATTATTTTTATGATGAAAATAAAGAAATAGTGGGTGCACTCAATGTCGTCCCCAATCCCACTCAAGATTTCTCCAGCAGACCCAAAAAAGCAATTACTGATAACTCTATTTCCCCATCATAGGTTCCCTCTCCTTTTTTCTTCAACTATTCCCATTCCTAGATTTTCTATATCTTTATTATTCATATATTTGGGACGATTTAAGAGCATTAGCCTTACAGTTTTCAGCCTTTATTTCTGCTGCTTGTTGCTTTATGTTGGGCATTTAACAACCAAAAGAACCCACCGAACCGAACCAAAATTCGGTTCAGACTGTAGTTCGGTTCGGTTTTGGTTTGGCTTAATTGATAAACACCGACCGAACCTACCATTTGCTCACCCCAAATGATCAACAATTTGTCAATACTCATAGAACTTCATCTTCCAGTTATCTTTTTTTTGGTTGACATATTTCCTCAATTTTTGGGTTTTGATATGGTAGAAATATTCACAGGGGATGCATAGGTAGTGGGAAGATAAAGAAGTCACCAGAAAGTTTAATTGTTTTTATCTTACAAAAATAAATAATAGGTTCTTTGGTTGTTCTCTCAAATCACTCACTACATTGCACGAAATCTTAAAGATGCTGTCTTGATAGTTGCTATTCATAGTAGTGCTATCTTAATTTTGTTGTGAAATATCATTCTTAAGCATCTCAATGTACTTCATCAAACAGAAAAGATTCATTTTCTTGTTAGAAACATGTTGATGCATTACACTTTCATTTTTAAAATATATAGCTGTGAACAAATTACGTCTTAATGTGTCTTGGATTGTTAGACAAATAGAGTTTCTGATATTTGGTTATATAGTTATATTGGTTCAGAGCAATCACTTTGTTTGCTGCTGATACTTTGATTGCAGACTTCCTTGATCCTTGTTCATGGTGCTGATAGGTTCATCTATGTATTTGTTTCTTAAAAAGGACTAGTTACTTCTAGAGTGCTATGCCGCAATTGAAATTCTTCATCATCGAAGAACTAAAGTTTTCTCAGTTGCGTTTCTTGCGTTATCTTTTCCTTTGCCATGTGAACATACGGGCTTGTCTCTGTAGCTCGAGTGATTGGCTTTCTGTATATGGATCTTTATATTTTATATATGTTCCTTTTTTTGCCACTCTTAAATTGAGAATACTCAGATGAATAGCGTTTCAACAGCATTTGCAGTCAAATAGTTATAGAATTTGACATGAAAACAATGCCAGATCTTGAGGTTTCTTGTAGTATTGATTCTCATTGATTAATATATAGTCCACAACTGTATGCAATGGTTGCTATACTTCCCATCAATGCTTTTAGAGCTTAACTATTTAATCCTTATTCATAGATAAGTGCTTGTGAATTTTGTTGCTAATTTTAGTGAAATTGTGTGTCTGCACTCTGCACTGCAGGAGAAGATGTCCATTCTTAGGGAAAATGAGTCCCTAGCTAAAGAAAATGAGCGGCTTAATTATGAAAAAGATACCTTACTTAGGAATAAGGAATTGGTCGATGGTCAGATTGTTGTTTTAACAAAGACCCTGGAAACTGCACAAAAGGATCTAAAAGACAGAGAGATTCTGGTATTTTCAGACATGATACTATTGGTTAGTAAACTAATAAACTGCATAACTTAACTATACATGCTTTTGTAGCTGCAAAGTTTGAGAAAAACACTAGAGCATCAGAGGAAGGAACTAAATGATTGCAGAGCTGAAATCACTTCACTTAAGATGCACATTGAAGGGTCCAGGGCTAGTCGGAATCGGGCTACAGGAGAAAATGAAAATGTACAATTACTTGAAGTCAATAACTACGTGGATGATCTAAAATCTACTCATAATGACACAGAAAAAATGGAGGGAGCAGACATCACTTCCACAGCTTCACAGTCTGGTACAAACTCGAACGAAGATTCGCTGCCTGGGGAGAAGGTTGTTCAGATGAATGAAGAAATAGTATTACCTAATTCTGTTGATTCAATGTCTGGTTTGTATGTTGGGAATGCAGAAAGTCAACCCCTTGATCAAGATGGTAGAAAGAACATTAATACTACTTCAGACCAGTTAATAAATTCTTGTAATGGTGATGTTGACAGCAAAGAGAATGCTCATGACCACCTCTTTAAACCACTATCTGAAGACGTTGGATTAACATATAAAGAAGATAGTCCCAAACGAGGAACAACTGGGGTAACTCTTGAGATCCTGCATGCTCTCTTCTGGATTAGTTCTATTTAGCCAATTCTTTACTGGACATAGTGTCTTATATTATTTTCTTAAGAGCGATATTCCCTGTGACAGGCTTTGGAGTCCATCCAGATACTTTCAGATGCATTGCCTAAGATTGTTCCCTATGTTCTAATCAACCATCGTGAGGTTCTTATCTGAATTTTGTGCCACTTTCTCATTGCAATACATGCTATAAGAAAGCACATTTTCAACTAACAGGATGTTTTATAATTGCAGGAGCTTCTTCCTTTAATCATGTGTGCTATTGAGCGCCATCCGGACAGTACTGTCAGAGATTCGTTAACTCACACATTGTTTAATCTTATTAAACGCCCAGATGAACAGCAGAGGCGCATTATAATGGATGTATGTTACTACACACTATATATTGTTATCATAGTTTAAGGCAACTGGAAGAAAGAAAGAGCCTCTGTTTCTTGCTTCAATTCAATATATAGAAATAGATTTTGGTGTTATCAATTTACTTTCTTTTTCAGGCCTGTGTAACCCTTGCTAAGAATGTGGGAGAAATGAGGACAGAAACTGAATTGCTTCCCCAGTGCTGGGAACAGGTTTGCTATAAAAAAATGGTTAATTTCTTTCTAAAGGAAAGTCGATATATAAGCTTATTGTCTTAAACTGTAGATTAATCACACATACGAGGAAAGGAGGCTACTAGTTGCCCAGTCTTGTGGAGAACTTGCAGAATTTGTTCGGCCTGAAATCCGTGACTCTCTCATTTTATCCATTGTCCAGCAACTAATTGAAGATGCTGCCACAGTCGTGAGAGAGGCTGCAGCTCATAACCTGGCATTGCTTCTTCAGCTCTTCCCAAATAGGGACAAATATTTTAAGGTCAGCCTCACTAATGCCCAGGGGCAATCATGGAGCAGAAAATTGTCTTCACAGAATTGGCTGCAATGTAAGCTATAGAAAAGGCTGGACACATGGCTTCAGGAGTGGCTTGGGGGCTTATTTAGTGATAAGAAACAATACCACAATATTTAATATGTTTAATCTAATTTGTATGTGTTTCCTTTAATAGGTTGAGGAGTTGATGTTTCAGTTGGTCTGCGATCCCTCAGGGTTAGTAGTTGAGACAACCCTAAAAGAACTTGTTCCTGCAGTAATAACTTGGGGAGGCAAATTGGATCATATTCTACGTGTTGTACTATCCCACATCTTGGGTTCTGCTCAGGTATTTATTGAACTTACGTAATGTTTATCCACTCTTTTAATTGGATAAATAATAGCGGTCATGCTGAAATTACTCCTTATTTACCAGCGGTGTCCGCCTCTATCAGGGGTTGAAGGTTCTGTAGATTCACACCTTCGTGTTTTAGGTGAAAGAGAGCGCTGGAATATTGATGTGCTATTACGTATGTTGATGGAGTTACTTCCATTTGTTCATCAGAAAGCTATTGCAAGCTGCCCTTTTACCACTACTATGGAATCTCTTAGTGCTTCTCAACAAGCAAATTCCTTTTTCTCCACTTCTGTGCTTCAACTGTATGCTGGGTGAGTTCCATCTTGTGTGAATCACCCAGCATAAATATTTCATTACCTTCAAAAAACAATGATACTGATTTGCTGCTTTAAATGGTTTCCTTGTAATCTTATGGTTGGATTCATTTGGATAGGGGTCATATGGAGTGGCCGCAATTTGATTGGATGTATGTTGATTGTTTCCCTGATCTTATTCAACTTTCCTGCATGTTACCTCAGAAGGAAGATAATTTAAGAACTCGAATTACAAAGGTATTTCTCTCTTGTTTTGCATTACAATCCATCAAGTTCTGTGAAGGATCAAAATATTACAGTTACTGTCCATTATATATTTAATATTTTCAAGTTTTGATGGCAGTTCCTTTTGGATGTAAATATACTCTTTGGGGATGATTACGTTGAACACATAATGCTTCCTGTTTTCCTGGTCGCCATCGGGGATTGTGATAGTGCTGATTTGACATTTTTTCCTCCGTCTATCCACTCAAGAATCAAAGGTGTGGAACTGCCTTAGTTTGGAACACCGTAAACATTATTTAGTATTTTACGCTTTGATCTTGCTACTTGTTTGCAGGTTTGCGACCTAAAACTGCTACAGCTGAGAGGCTTGCTATCATGTGTGTGCTTCCACTATTGTTATCTGGTATATTGGGTGCTCGTAGTAGTAATGAACAACTTTCAGAATACTTGCGAAAGCTATTAGTGAACAATACAATTAGTGATGATTCCTGGTCTGGTTATCGTGTTGCTGAGGTTATCGATGCCGTCCGCTTCCTTTGGTTGGTACCTTTTGTAAATTTCTGTTTTTCCTTGAACAATATTTTGTTGTATCCAACTCACAGTTCTTAAATATAGCACATTTGAAAAGCATCATGGAGTCATTTTCAATGTTCTCTGGGACATGGTTGTGAGCTCCAATGCTGATATGAAGATTGAGGCTGCAAATCTTTTAAAAGTCCTGGTATGTGGCAATTTCTGAGCATCTGAGCGTTATTATTATTATTATTATTATCTGTACTTAATCAAGTACTAATATGACTATTTTCTGATTATAGGTGCCCTATGTCGATGCTAAAGTCGCATCAACTCAAGTTTTGCCAGCACTTGTCACTCTTGGCTCCGATCAAAATTTAGATGTTAAATATGCAAGTATAAACACGTTTGGAGCTGTTGCTCAGTATTTCAAAGATGACATGGTACCTGTAACTTGTTTTCATTAGTGGACTATTTCAGAGCAGACTTTCTCTTTGTGGAGCTAATTGAATTGTTTGAATTTCAGATCGTTGAAAAAATACGCATACAGATGGATGCTTTCCTAGAAGACGGATCACTCGAAGCTACAATTTCTGTTATACGTGCATTAGTTGTGGCAGTACCACATACGACAGAGAGATTGCGAGAATATATCCTTAAAATTTTCTTTAATATTAGATAACTTGTTACTTGTAATATTACTGTTGTTTGAGTTTTTTCAACTTTTTTTTCTTTAACATTTCATACATCTTTTGTCGAAGATATTCCAGCTTACAGCCCTTCCATCCCATGGAAAGGATGTTGTACGTCGTCGTGAGAAAGCAAATGTGTTTTGTGAAGCAGTACGCGCTCTTGATGCTACAGGTTTGCTTGCTGGAGAACTGAGCTAAAATTTCTTTTGTATGCAACCAGCACAGAGTCATTCTCTCTGATACTTCATTTCAGTTTGACTCATCCTATTTCAAAAAGAAAGTGATGCTCCTAAGATAGTTCACCAAATAATGATTTCTAAAAAAACTTAGATAGTTCCAGTGTAAAATACCACAGTTTCACTTATTATTATCACCCCACAAAAACCTTGATTTTCTCCACAACATCCAAAAAACTGTCCCTGAAGTTTATTTAGCGCACCCAAACTATAATTTTTGTTTGTTTTAGATAATTCCTTTATAATGTCGTATAAATTTCCTAAATTTTCAGAAGCACCATATTACTCCTTTGTATGTCTCTTTACAAAAAGCTCTACTTATTTCTTGACATTTCTTCCAATTTTCATTTCACTTATCCTATGTCTATGTCATGTTTCGGTGTCTCGTGCCAAAGATAGGTCCCTTTCTGTAACGATCGGCAGGAGTGCCTGAGCAACAGATCTATCAAATAGTTTTTAGAACAGCATGAAATGAGTAGATCGTGACTAGGTGGGTGGCAAATGGTTGGATTCAAGTTTACATCTCAAGCAATCATCTTTCTACCATTTTGATTGAGTACAACTAGTGGATCTAAACCTATTAATTAATATTAGTGGTCCATCCCTGGATCAAAACCCTGCAGTAAGTTTTGGATTCTCTTTTTGGTTTCAGGATAAAATGAATACATTGCTGTTCCTTAAAAATAAATATTTTCACCTTTGATGTAATAGAAATTTATAGCTTAAAAAATTCTACTTTGCTTTTTGGTTTGTAGACAAGATACATCCGCAAAGACAAACCTCTAGTTTTAAGTTTTAGACAGATACGTTCTCTGTTGCACTTGTCTATACCTATGAATGGTTGGTTGCATTTCAAACTAGTTGCTTAGTGTATTCATCTAAGTTTAATCTTCATCTTTGAAGAAAAATGTTGCCTTTCAAATAATATTCTACCTTGTAACGAGATTGAAATTTCATTTGATGACACTGTTGACATGTTCCTTGGTTTATAAGAATAGCAATAGAGAATTGGATTTGTTGAAATCCATAGAAAATACTAAAATTACGTAGTGAATATGACTTTAGACCTAGATGGTTAACGAATTTTCTTATGGGTCTATTCTTTCGATTGCAGATCTTCCATTAACTAGCGTCCGGGACCTCCTCATACCAGCCATAACCAACCTACTCAAGGACCCAGACTCACTAGATCCAGCTCACAAGGAAGCCTTAGAAATCATAATGAAGGAGAGATCAGCCGGAGCATTTGAGAGCATAAGCAAAGTAATGGGGGCCCACCTCGGGATCGCAACATCGGTTACCAGCTTTTTTGGTGAAGGCGGCCTTAGAGGAAAGAAAGACATTGCAGACCCACAAGAGACTATTATTAGTTCCCCTCCTCAACCGAGCCCTTCAGCTACTCAAGATGGCACGAGGTTTCAGCGAATGATGAGAGGTGGGCTTGGGGAGATGTTACGAGGCAAAGGGAAGGGACCTGAGGATTCTCCTGGCAAGCCCGCCTAAATTTGCATCTTATGAGTTTGCATGAATCTTCTCTTTGAATTTTGAAGTTGTGGCCTCGTCATTCAATTCAACTTCCATAGGACGGTCTAGTGATTAATACGTATTATGTTTGTTTCGATCTCTGAGGATGTGCTTGGGCATTCTATTAAGAGTTGTTATGATCTGTTGCTTCATTTATACATTGATGCTAGATGAGATAAATGTGTGGTGTAGTTATAAGCAGTTTCTTCTGTTGCATAATTATTTAAAATGTATGTATATAATTGAGGACTTGTACCTACTTGAAGAGTAACTTGTATTTCAAGAAGCATGAGGTTAGCGCACTTTCATCGCAGAAGTCTGTGTCTCGTAAGATCGCAATGGGATTATTGAGTGGAATAAATTTTCTCGTACATTTTTAATATAGGCAGTTGTAAATGAATTTGCTCGCCTTCAGTTCAGATCATCATGTATATTCATTCTGGTTCACGGCGAGCTCCCACATTGAGGGACACGTTAGGCTCTGAATCCCCGCACCATGCTGGGTGTTCTGATAGGATATGTGCTCATATCTATGGATGTGTGGACAAATTTTCAAAACCAACCTATTTGGACTTTTATTCCCAAAAAAAGACCCGTTTCACATTTATTTAGAGAAACCGACCTGGTTTCAGCACTGAGGCTGAAACCAGGTCGGTTTTTGCAATTATTTTTGAATGGGGTTGTTTTTTGTGAATAAAAGTCCAAATAGGTTGGTTTAGAAAATTTGTCCATGGATGTGTCTTTAGAATTCGATCATATGCACGTAGGATAATAAATATTATCATCCACCCTTATAGATATAGGGGTGTTCTAATAGGATGCATTCTCATGTCTATGGATATGTCTTTGGTATTCGATCATACGCGCATAGGATAATAAATATTATGGAATTGAAGTATGGTCTTTGAAATAATAATTGTCCTTTAATTTTATTAAAAGAGTGAAATTCAAAAAAGTACCATAAGTTTAACCTTATCTATATTCATCTTAAGTTTTTTAAAATTAATCTGCGGTTAAAGATCCAAGAAGATGCTGTTTTAAGTTCAGAGCATACAAAATCTCAAGGGGGACGGAAAAGTAGTCAAGACTGAGTAAAAGCTGGTAAACATAAGTTAATAGGATTCTTTGTCCACCAATTTTTTTATCTATTGATTTTAATTTAAGATTCATGCTACTATATATTATGACTTTTTTTGAAATTTGTGTCTTGATGTTTATCACATGCTAGCACGAATGTCAAAACATAATCAATGGATAAAAATTGATGGACAAAGGACTCCTAGTCACTAAGGGGGTGTTTGGTTGGTTTCCTAAAAACCAAGAAAATGAAATCGGTACAATGAAATCAATAAAATAATATTTTTATCAATTTCCATCTTTAAAACTCACTCACAATATCTAATAAAATATTATTTTTATCCTCCAACTCATCTCATTTCATCACCTTTCTTACCTTTAAAAATAAACCAAACACAAGAAATGTGTCACATCATCCAACTCATCACATCTCATCTTATCTCATTTTTAAAAATCGCACACATCATCAAATAATATTGTGACAACTCATCTCATCTCATTAAACATTCATTTCCATCCATTTCCTAAAAAAAAACAAGAAATTGATTTCCTTAAGTTTGTGTCACATCATCCAATAATATACCTCCAACTCATCCCATCTCATCTATTTTCTTATTTTTAAAAATAAACCAAACACAAACAACCTCAAAACATCATCCAATAATATACCTCCAATTCATTTCCTTATTTTTTTAACCAACCAAGCAACCTCAAAGCAAGTTTTTTTTTTAAAATCACTCACATCATTCAATAATAAGGTGACAACTCATCTCATCTCATTTCCTATTATATAATTTCCTTCTTTTTAAGCCAACCAAACAACCTCAAAACAATTATTATAGGAAATATGTTTCCTATTCTTTGATTTTCCAATTTTTTTTTTGCCAAATGAACAACGCCTAAAGTGTACAAGAGTGAATGAGAAGAATTTCTTGAAAGTCTAATTAATTTTACCTAGAAAGAATATTGGCTTAAATGCCCTATAGTTTCACCAACCTTGCACTTAAGTAATTTCTATTTTAAAACCGAGCAATAAATACCCAATAGTATTTAGATATTGCTGATAAATGTCCCAAAGTTAAAAAGAACATAGTTTCTCTACATATACAAGAACACCACATGATGCAGGGTACTAAAGCGTAGCTCTTAGAAACTTTAGGGTATTTAAGTAAGGTCATTTACAAACCAACGTCATTTATATGCAACATTTGATAAACAAGAGAGCATCAAAATGCAACATTTTGAAATGTTGGGATATTTATGTGGAATAGTTAAAATACTTTGAATTATTTATTTTCTCAGTTTTATAATAGAGGTCATGCAAGATTGGTGAAACAGCGGGGTATTTAAGTGCAATTTAGCCAAAGAATATTAGCTAAAGTTTCATATTATGCAAAATAAATATAAGGTCAAAATCCTCTTGGCAGAAAACAAAGAAAGGAACAAACGAGGAGGATGACCGAAGCTTGGATCCGCTCACTCGTGGAAGCCATCCACTCGAGCTCCACTCAGACCGTTATCTATTTAGCTGGCGGAGCTTCTCAGGTCTCTCTCTCTCATCTCTCTACCATTTCTTGGAAATTTTCTGTTTCCTTCTTCAATTATTTCAACTGAAAATAAATAAATAAATGATGCAATTTGATTCATCTCGTAGGCAATTGCATGGCTGATGTCTACACCTGGAGCTTCCAATACGATCCTCGAAGTTCTTGTTCCTTATTCCAGGACCTCCATGGTTCAATTGCTCGGCAAGGTAATAATCCGTGGAATTTGATTTTTTTCCCCCCACTTTACTTTCCACTCTGGCAATTCCACAAACAGTTGGTTTGCATACTTGGGGAATTGATTTTTAGACAAACTGCAATCTTGTTAGCTTTGTTAATAATCCGATGATAACCCGAAAAATCGGTAAATGAAGGTTGTGTAAATGATGACGATAGATGCCGCTCATTCGAACACACGAGCGTGCAGACACACATTTAACATACCCACAAAAAGGTTTAGTTGAGAACAGCCGGTCATCTCAATATATATAATGTTTTTACAACAACAACAACAACATTAGTAGCAAAGCCTTTGTCTGAGAATTTTGGGGTTGGCTACATGAATTTAAAACCTTCTTCTTCCATTTAATTCTGTGTAGGCTATCTCCTCTGTTGAGTTAGCCACTATCATATCCTTCTTAATTATGACCTTAACGGTACTCCCACTTGGTGCATTTTGTGGATCACTAATGGTTTTAAGTTGCATAAATTATAATGAAACCTATGGATCATCCAGATTCATGCATATCAGCATGCATGCACACGCACACAGACACCCACAACAAATATATAGTTGACGGGTGTGTCATGAAATATTTGTAAGTTTTTCTCAGTCAGGCTTATGATCTGTGACTCGGTTCAGCGATAGGCAGGGTTGGGTCCTCGTATAAGAAACATATATGAAGATCCAAATCTTTCTCTGATTTTGTTTGATTGATATTTTTGAAGTACATAATTATTTTGCATGATCCGCTTAAAAGTTTCTTACTTTTATTGTAAAAGTTTTGTTACATTATTACGCCCCTCCTTTTATAGTTTTTTTTGTTTTTTCTGAATATTTTGATGTGTTCTAGAAGCTCTCTTACAGAAAGTGCTCAACTGCATTATATTACTCACCTGCATCGACCTTTGCTTTCATGATATGCTCATGACCACTAGTGAATAATAATACTTGGGTTTTTTCTCTATTTTCCTTCAGCAAAGTTCTATATCTTTTGATTCTTCTCAGAGGTATCATAGGTTGGGATTTACTTTGATTGTTTTGAACAGGTTACTTTAATCTTCTAATCAATTATGACAAAATAACCATTTTTTGGTCTCATTAACCAATCCTTGGCTTTCAGGTTCCTGCACAATTTACCAGCCAACAAACTGTTGAAGAATTGGCATTGTTGGCGTATAATCGCGCGTTGAAGCTTTCAAAACCAGGTTAAAATCCGTTCCTTGATTTTTCTCCAAAGTCTTGTGCACTTTGTGATGTGTTAAATAACTTTTTATGTGTTTATCAATTGTTGTTTTCATTAAACGAGAAAGGAGAGAAAAACCTTTAATATGAAATATTTTTGCCAGTATGTAAAGATAAATTTAGGGGCTGTTTGACTTCAAGATTTATGTTTTGGATTTATGACAATGCCACATATCCAATGAATCCTCAAGTATCAAAATTTTCTATTTTGTGTTTGGTTGTGTAAATAAGGGGAATGAAAAGTTGGTTTTGAAAAGAAAATTTAACAATCTTGTTTGTTTGCAAAGATGGTAATAAAGTTGGGAAATGATATGGGCCCACTAGTGATTACTTTTATAGGTAAAAAAAAGATTATATTGATAATTATTAGTAATCAAACTAACCACAAGTATAAAATTAATTATGTAGTTATTATTTTTTTCCCAAAATTTACAAGTTTTTTTTGACGTGTTTAAATCTCATGGGGCCCACATTTGTACTTTATCCCCCCAAATCCTCCTCTTTTATTCGGATAGCTGACATTACAATTTGGTCGGCTCACTTTACGAGGCAAGAGTCCATACAAGCAGACACAAGATTTTTGCTGGGAAAAGTTGCTCTGAATTTTTTTCTCCTTGTTGGGCCTGATATCTGACTTGTTTTCTCAAAAATCCTATGAACTTTGCTGAAACAAACAGCCCCTTGTAGTTTTGGTCTAGGCCTTCTTGTACGTTATTGTAGTCACAGCTTTGTCAGAATGCTGAAGACAATTGCCCTTGTGTGCACTAGAAGAGGGTAATAATGGAAGATGCTATGCAGTATAATTGAAGATTTGGAACCTGACATAGCTACAGTATTTTAAGGATAGAGTTGAGTGTATATATTGCCCCCTTTTTAGGCAATAGGCACCTATATTGATGTCATTAGGCTAGTAGTGTCTAATTCTTTTATCATTCATCTCCTTGTGTCTCTAAGAATACTGGATCCCCTTGCTCTTATGGTTTTAGTTGGTCTTCAATGTTGTCCTATTTGTCAAGACAACGTAAGACTACAGCTGTTCTACATCTTTAAAGTTTTGACATGAGGATAGTGCTGTATGTTATTTGTGAATAAATGTGATATCTGACCATGTTTGAGTTGGCATTTATATATGAAGAACCTCAGAGCATAAAATGATGCAAAAGCAATTAACAACGTACCTTACCATCATTCCTTACAAATTACAAGATAAGGCCACTCTTAGTAGCAGTTTGGGCAGTGATCATCAAGGCCTGTTCACACTGTGATTTGTGTTTGTGGTTTGATCTTGGATCTGGTCATTTAAAAGGAATGACCTGGTCCAGTCAGAGAATGGTTAAGTCTTCTCAGCACTATGCTAAAATTTTGTCATCATCATTTACTTTGTCAATGTGAGGATGTGTCCCTGACACAGTCCTCTCTCGGTCTCTAGAAACAGTCAAAGTAAGAAATCCATAGTGTGTCCATATTCTTAGGCAATTTGATGGATAGGTTGATAGTCAGTGAACAAGTTATTGACATGGCTGGAAAAGGCCATGTACATTTGGGGTGCAATTTGTTTTAGAATGGAATTCCTGACATATTGTGGGTGATTTTTATGTGTTACTTCTTGCTTCGTATACTGTAAGAACGAAGATTTGAAGAAGGAAGGTTAGAACTTAGAAGTTTAAAACCATTCTCTAAAGCTTTAAGCTATTCTTGTACCTGTCCATTTCTTGGGTTCAGAATGTCAATTTTCAGCAGTCAGATATCTCATCCTTGTTGCGCACCTTATTGTTGCATTTAACTGTTCTAGATATGTTTATGGATGTTATTCTTAGTAAACTGACAAACTTTTTATCTCCCTTCTTGTTGTGGATAGAGATGGAATATCATATTTAGATGCTATCAAACATAGGAGTTTGCAAAATGGAATTAGGAAGATTTGTTTTTTGTGCATTTATTTGCGAAGATATATACACTTAAAATGTAGATAAATTTCTATCTTGTTTCATCTAGAAGAGTACCTTAATGCACAATCAACTGACAAAATGATTTTACCCAAGAAGTTCTAAGCCATAAACCATCATGTACACAGTCTTACTACAGTAAATGTAAAAGTAATAAACTCAAATTGAGAAAGATGTGCTTAACGCAGATAGGTGGAACCACTTTTAGTAGGAAGGGTCATCTTAAATATCATGGAGTACCCACCCTCTGAGGTCCCAACTAGTTTTAATCAGGACATACAAAATCTGATATTTCCATATGATCTTTCCATTAAGGCTTCAATGTGGTTTCTCATGTTTGATCCTCAAGAGGTTCCTTCAGCAAGAAGAAAGTATAATGAATTAATCGATAACTCTGAATACAGTTTCATGTGGCATGTCTATTTATATTTTCTTCTGTATCTATATGCACTCTAGTTTTTTTGTTAGGAAGGTGCGGTGAAAATGAAATCCTCGAGTGTTGATGCATGGTTTGTTTTGCTTTATATTAAAAAAATATTTTATTTGTAAATGATGTTATTTACGAAGTTCTTTTAATTTATGGATTGCCATCCTAATCACGTCTGATAAGAATTGACACTTTGACAAGTCTACGCATGATGTTTAGATCTCCGCCATTTTTGGATTACCGGCTATAGTCAATTTCATGAAAGTACTTGATGGCATCAAATGTATAATTGCTTGCTTATACAACTGATCCGATGTTTTTTTATACATATAGGTTTTCCTGTATTAGGTGTGGGCTTTACTGGATCCTTGGTCAGCATACATCCAAAACATGGCAACCATAGGTATCCTTTTTTTTCTTCTCTTCACGAGCTACTGTCAGCTTGCGATGAGCATTGATTTATAGGAAAAGATCTTGTTTCATAACTCCCGTTGCATTAAACTTCTGATTTAGTGAGAACTACAAAAACTAAAGTTCTGTAATACACTGATGTGCTTATCCATATACCCTATTATATATTAAGGTAACAACTAAGAAATGTTATGATATCTGCAAGATTTATTTCTGTAAGAAATTGAATGATTCATTTTTGTGAAGTTTGATGGTAGTTGTACAATAGTTTCTGTTTGTGATGTTTGTTTGTCGTTTATGCCATTAGCTATCAAATATATTCATGTCTCAGAGAATCTATAGCTCATAGGACATTTCGTATATACCATAGGAAGAAGTTCTTATAACATTAACTCCACAGCTACTTTTCTTATCTTTATCTATCTTTTGAGATGGATTGCATGTCTTTGTCTTTGTGTAGCATGACATGTCAAAATTCCATCAATGAATACGATGTTTTTTCTTTTCATAAAAATGACATTTTTATATGTAATAGTTATGCACTGACCAGCTTTCAGCTACTAGTATAACCGTCCTACCATTTTAGTCAGTTACTCAACCCTTCCACCTATACTAAGGTCACTATGACTTTCCTACTGTATCTGTGTCATTATGAGTTAGGTGCCTTTTTGCTGAATATGATCATAGTTATGCTAAACAATCGTAGAGTCTTATATACACGGTATCCTCTATATAGCATTTGCTTCACATAATGTACCATCTAGTTTTATAATTTAACTTAATCTTTCTAGGAATTACTGCGCCTGGCCTACCAGCATAATCAGTACATTGAAAGTTTATGCCGATAGTTCATTGGTAATATGAGAAAGTATTTGTTCCTCAAGGTTCAATGGTGTCTCTTGCCATAGTGCTCTTCATCAAGAACCTCCACTTATTGGGTTCTTGATGTAAGTTTGACAGGCTGTATAAAAACTTGTTAGCATGTTGACAGCACTTTCTTAATCTAAGCATATACTTGGTAGTTGATTCCAAAGTGATTGCATTGGCAATGATGGATATCTGCAATCATCAAAGATTCAATTTTTTTTTGAGATTTCGTGTGTACTCTATTGTTTTCCATTATCAATTTAAATAGAATGCTAAAATCTTACCTCTTTTTTTTCTTCTCAAATTTTAGATTTCTCTTTTTGTTCAGGTTTTACTTGTCGACGCGGACATGTGATCGCCTTCGGACCTCAAATATAACTTTGGTTAAGGTATTAATTTCATAATTTATTCTTTTAAATTAAGTCTCACTATTTTATCTAAAATAGTGCAGTCTATAACATTGCTACTAGGGAATGCGGACTCGTGAGGAAGAAGATAAACTTGCTAGTCATTTCATGCTCAAGGTACGTTAATTTGATACAGAAATCCACACGATTCTTTTGGATATGAATTTGAACTATTCCCTGTGCTATTCTTTTTCCTCAATACCGATGTTCTTATTCTTTGTACCTTATTTGAACTGATGCGTAATTGCGTAGAATGCCTTACCTTATGATGGCATTTTAGATTTGGTATCTTGATTCTTATCGAGTCCAGTTATGTGTGTAAAGCAAAATTACAGTAAAGATACTCCTTATGTATAAAATAAGAAAGGGTGCAGATAATCCCCTCATTTATACCACCAGTTATCACTGTAAATATTTTAGCAGCACTGTACACCCTCTGGATTCACATTTTGAGAAGGATAAATTGTGGATAACCCCATTCTCTCCTATGAATCGAAGGAAGTTATGTACTACTAAAATAGTTAGGGGGGTTTATATGCCATTTACCCTTTTCTATTTCCTCTATTTTACTTTCTTTTTTATTCCATATTTATTCTTTTATCATCCGTCTATATATTCTATAAATTCATAGAAAAACCATCTTTCCTAAGCTCTTGATTGGCCTACAAAATTTTACAAAGGGTCCTTCACAGAAACATTCTTGGTTAGAATAAATTGTTAAATTGGTTTTTTTGCTTATAGACCTATCCTTAGATCCCTTCCATCATCCAACTTCTATGTTTATTATTTTTATTTAGAAAACAGATACAAAAGAACATGTGTGTTTGTTTTTTTTTAAAGTGAACACTAGGGCTGGGCGTATTCGGTTCGGTTCGGTTTTAAGTCCAATCCGCATCCAATCCGAATTTTTCGGATTCTCAAAACTCTCATCCAGATCCAGATTTTTTCCCCTTCATCCGAATATTCAGCCCAACCGAAATTCGGTTCGGTTTCGGTTTTGAACCGAATTAACTCCATTTCACAAAAATCTGGGTAAGTTTTAGTTATATCCAAAACTGAAAAGAAGCAATCAAAACTGAAAAGAAACAATCAAAACTGTACTAAGCCACTTAATCAAATTGTATGATCTGAATATAACTAGCTTAATACACTAGGAGGACCATGTAATTATGTAGCCTTTTTTAGAGAAAGAACAATGTTTGGCAGGCACACACACCTTTTGATGATTTTCGTTAATTTTTAGCTGCCTTTTTCTCATCAAGAATTATCTTATATCCTTGACAGCCTATACTATAGGTTAATTTGATATCCAGCACCAGCAAGCTGTATTCATGTTATCACTGAAATTTGACCAAAACACTAAATTTATCCTTCAACCTCAACATCTTGTATTGATTTACGGAAATCTCACTTAACTATATCAGCGTACTCAAATATATGTTAGTATAAACTCCATCCCACAATTCTTAAATGCTAAACATTCAGCCATAAATTTTCTTCACACCCAAGGCTCGCAGCTACTTTTTGTTTAAGAATTCGGTTCGGTTTTTTTTGGGCGGTTCAGGGGTTCAAACCGGATCCAAACCGGTTTAATTCGGTTCGGGCGGTTTAGAGACTTCTTCTCATCCATTTAATTCGGTTCGGTTAACCGATCCGTTTTTTCGGGCGGTTTTTTCGGTTGAACCGGTTTGTTTCGGTGTTTGCCCACCCCTAGTGAACACTTTGCAGAATAGAGGAAGATAAAAGTTGGCTCATGCAAAGATCATATTTAGTTTGGACTCCTCAATTTTGTAATGTTTGGCAAATGCAATCTTCAATTTCAAAAAGGAATGATCATATTTTCACTTAGCATGAATGGTATTAATAGTACAAGAACATGAAAGATTGATTTAATCATTGTACAATGAAAATGAAAGATTGATTTAATCAAATTTTATGCACAAAAGTTAATGTTCTAATAAATTAACCAATATATACGTCAAGATGCTTTTCTGTAATCAGGGTTTCTGCTAGCATCACACTAAGTTGTCAACGTCAATGGAAAAACAAGAAGAAGAAAAAAAAGACTGCCCTTGTAATGAGGACAAGAAATGACAATATTTGATTAGTTGATATATTTTTGAATTTTGAATTTTGAATTTTGAAATTTGAAATTTGAAATTTGAAATTTGAAATTTGAAATTTAAAATTTGAAATTTAGTTTAATTTTAGTTGAGTGATTTGAGGGATTGTTGTTTGTTTCTATTTTTATTGCACGTTGTGTGCACGTAGTTTTTTTTTATAAATAAGGTTGTATGAGACTAATGAAAAAAATGAATTATTGAATAATTAAATAAAAATTTGTGGCTAAAAAAAAAATGAGTGTGTGAAACCTCATGGGTGTGAAACCCTAAAAAAAAAAAAACAAAAAAAAAAAAATAAAAAAAAATAGCCGCCGAGTCTCCTTTTCTTCTTCAAGCTCCAGGCAGCCAGCCAAAAAATGCGCCATGTTCCTCGTCAACAAACAAGCCGCACAACCAATCCCATCTCCCGTTCTCGCCGACCACCAGCCACTCGTTTCTCCTTCCGCAAGTCACCGTTCTGCGTCCACGCAGCCGCCGCCGCTCTTCCTCCTCCACAAGCCATGAGCAATTGACGCCTCCACCAGCATTTCCACCGTCTCCGAGCACCGGAACTTCTTCCCCTTGCTCATCACCATCGCGAGCAGCCCCAACAACCACCGCCTCCTCGCTGGCCCTTCAACATCGTCGCGACCGTCGCCTCCTCATCAGTGATAACCGCCCCTCCTCATCAACGACGACTGCCCACCCGCGCTCAGATCACACTTCCTCCATCGACGAACGAGCCGTGAGTCGACGTTAGTGGTTTAGCCTTCTTTTTTTTCTCAGATCCAAGAGAATGCAGAAGAGAGAACTTAATGGTGACGTGTGGACTTGTGGATTTTGATGGGCTTGGGCTTCACTGTAGAAGCTAATGGGCCTTGGATTTCTTTCAACAGTTTTAAATAGTGATCCACTGAGGTTTCGCTTCTCTCAACTCAGTATTTTTCTGTTGATTTCAATTTATTAGTTAATTACATGAGTATTACATCTCTAAATTCTTATCATATATTCACTGCCTAAACTAAATCTGTGAGTTGAGAGTAATTGAATATGTGACTGCTGAAATTTGATATTGATTGTAGAACTTGCGCAACGATAATGAATATTGTGATTAAATTATTCTAGATTGGAATTGTTCATGACTATCGTTGCAAATCTGATTAAAATCCATCTGGCGCGTTAACTGTTTTAATTAGTTTCCTACCGAAGATCATGAATTTTGGCGAAGCAGTGCGTTGTTCAAATTAAATCGCTGATTCCGACAGACCCCTCCACCGTTTCGCATCACCTTGTCTGCTGTCAATTAATATGTTGTCTTAGGTATCCTGTATTATTCTATTTGTTGTATGGAGTATATTCTGATCAATTGTCATCTTCTTTTACTAAGGCAATTGCAGATGCTTGCAAAGTTTCTGCTAGCTTTACTTCAGATTTACATGAATCTGAGGTTCTCAATGAATATGAACAGTCATTTGATGAGGATCAAGAGCTACAACAAATTATTGATGGAAACATATGCATGAAAATTTATCACTTTCTTCAAGGTACGTGAAATAACTTCTCTTATATTTTAATTAATGTGTCTTTCAAATAATCTCACAGCATTTTAGTAATAAAAATTAAATCATAGTTTCACCTTTAAACAGTTTTTTTCATTTTATTGTAATTTTAAGGTATGTCTTCCTGTGCAGATGCTCACATTGCAGATACGGAAAGGAAGGTCATATTGTCAGGTTCATTCAATCCACTGCATGATGGACATGTCAGACTTTTGGAGATTGCTTCAAGGTATGTGTATAACCTTTTTTGTTGATAAATTTACAATCTTCAATTACAGTTTCTAACGTACAGCAAACTTACGGACACCCACTCGTGCACGCACAAAATTTGAGTAGTTTTTAACAGAAGGCTATTCCAACTTTATGTTGGAGTGTACATTATTTATGCAAGAGTACATATTTTCTTAACTAAGAATTAACACCATTAAAACTACAACATCTAACCATGTTCTCAAATTGAGATGTAATGATACATCAATTATGAGAAAGCACAAAAGCATAACTGATTACTCCTTAAATAGTAAATTCTTGCGTAAGAAAGTAAGACTGTAAAACATGTTCTCTAGCTAACTTGTTATAAGTATGCTACTTAGTTACCCAAGAGAAATGAGAAGACACCTAATGTTACAGGTGAGATGTTTAACTCCTAGCACAAATCCTATATCCATCGGATAATTTTGTCATAGGGATCGTGAATGTTCAACATATATGAAACCATTCATGAGTTATATAGTCACCGTACTCTTTCATGCCCACTGATTGGGGAAATTTCCTATTTGTTAACAATATTTTCTTTGTTCTTTAAGTATATGTGGGGTTCTGCAAGAGTCCATGTGTTTATGCTGTGTTCTCGTGAATGAAAACACATGGGTAGATGATCATTATTATAGGTAGATAGCACTTACTTTTTAGCATATTGCTTTGTTCTTTATGCACGTTTGTGGTCTGCTTAGATGCATGCTTGTATTTTGCTGCATATGTGAATGAAAGCACCTCGGACAGACTTACATGTTCATGTCATAATTATAGGGCCATAGGCAAGTAGCACTTTACACATCAATTATTTCGCAATAGTTTATCTTAGTTAAATACATATGCAAATTTCACTTACCTTCTAAACTTTCCTTTTCCATACAGTATTTGCGGGGATGGGCTTCCATGCTTTGAAATTTCAGCAATCAATGCCGACAAACCTCCTCTAGAAGTGTCTGAGATTAAAAAACGTGTTGAACAATTCAGGAAGGCTGGTAATGTTGGCTTTTCTTATAGTTATCGTGAAAGGAACAAAATTTTCTTTTCAAAAAATTCAAGAAGAAATATGAGACCTTCAGGTTTAAGCAATTGCGATGACAATTGGGAAAAGTGTAGTGTAAATGAGCTTTATAGTGCATGGTTTGTGTGGTACGAAAGAATTAATCATTTGCAAAACATGCTTTCTCCATTTACATTTTTCATTGATTATCATCCGCATATTGCGAAGGCTTCTCTTTAAGTGAACAATCTTCCGTTTGTAACTAACCTAGAAGTATATATGCTCTTGTAGTTTCATGGAAAGCAGCTATAGCAAATACAGTGATTTCTTAAATACAGTATGGGGCAAAAAGGGAACAGGGTGATAACCTGGAGAATTTGAAGATATGGTAATAGGGTAACAAATCTCCACAGAAATACATAATTGTTAAAAAGAGTCTGCTAATTGGTACATATTATATCAACTTACATAAACCTAACCTGTGATCAATTATTGTAGGAGCGTACATAGACATGGAGGATAAGCCATAAAATCTAAATCCTTTAGACATGGAGGATAAGCCATAAAATCTAAATCCTTTCTATCTTCCTATTATCTTCCATAATTATTGGCAGAAAGGGAGTAGCAACAAGAACAAAGCTTTCATCCCATGTCTCTAGGGTCTGCAACATGAATTCTTTTTCTCCTAGGTCTCATTCCATAAACATCCAACTAAGTTTTACCTTTACACCAAATTTTATGCAACCTTCCATCTTTTCATCCCAGTTTAGCACTAGCAGTAAAATAATTACGACAATAAATATTTTTGCTAACCGCATTGGTGATGACAAAGTCAAATTCATCTAATGAAAATAGCATAAAAAATATTAGACATTGAACAAAAAATGTGTGTACACAGAAACGATTAACCCTTGTTCACCTATTCTTTAACATTCTGAGACTTATTTATCATCTCTAATCAACCTGTTGGTAGAACACCATATATTTATCATCTCTTAAATTTTGTCAAAATCATGAAAAAATAATGCTGAAATGATGGACAGTCAGTTTATGGTCGTGCGTGTGTGTGTGTTTGAGTGCGTGTGTGTATGCATGTGTGCGTGCGTGTGGGTGTGTGTGGGCGTGTGTGGGTCTTCATGTGTGCGCGTGCAAACACGTGCGTGCATATGCATGCATGATGTTTCAATTAAAAGTTTACTTTGGAGAAATTTTTATTAGTTTTAAACAAATTTGATTATGTGGAACTACCAACCGAGATGTTAGCCTTGACCCATACATATGCACTTGATTAGAAGCTTGCCAAATTGTTTTTGATTACTTCTAAACCACATGGCTTAAACTCTGCTGAAACATGACTATTGAAATGAAAAAAATAATAACTCTTTTGGAACTTGGATGAACTTATAAATTCAAAAATATATCTTTGTTTCATATTGCAGTTAGTCCCCTTGAAAAATTTGAACTGTTAATGTAACATCTGCTGTGTTAACATTTATGATATTGAAGCAAGCGATGGCTGAAAAAGTGCTGAAATATCTATCCAGATTAAGGCAAACTCTTTAATAATATATTTGATGTGGATAGCTTTACTGTATTGTGAACTGATTTTGTGTTCTTCTTTGGGCTAATAAACATTTAGCAATATCTTGGTACTGTTTCCTTAGTTTCTTCTTGTATTTAAATACAATCTTTTGGAACAAAAAATCATTGCTTTTCCAACTTACTGTACTCACATGAAGTTGGTCGTATTTACTTTTTTGTTCTTTTGCTGCAGGGAAGACAGTGATTATTTCAAACCAGCCGTATTTTCATAAGAAAGCAGAACTCTTTCCTGGAAGTGCATTTGTAATTGGTGCAGATACTGCTGCAAGGATTGTCAATGTGAGAACACAATTCTTTATTGGAGAAGTTTTTTTAGCCGTTATTAGTAAAGATGTTTTGAATAATTTCAAGCACACAAGTACACATATTCTGTTGAGAGAACAGCATATTCTCTTATATAAAAGCTTCCCTGGATTATACAGGAGAGCTTAAATAAAATGTGATACAAGCAAAGGAGGATAGGAACGATATTTAGGTTGAGGGTGAAACTGACATTAGCTTTCTTCTTTATATGCCTTTAAGATCGATAGGCGAAAATTTGATCGTAGGAGTTCCACTGTCTAATTTACTGAAAAATATAGAACCATGGAACTACATAAAAGTACTCCAATAACTATTGGCAGTCACATGAATAATGGACAAGTATGTAATCCGAGCATTAATTGAGAATTCATATCATGGTGCCATATAGCCTTGAGCATGACCACAGTTACCAGCAATAGAAATTGCTGCAATTAAAACAGCTTTAGAATGCTATTGCTACATGGCGTACTGAAGGCACACGATGAGCCAAGAGACTTTCAAGGGTGGCCTTCCGCTCAAATTCTGGAAAACAAATTGTGTGATATTAGTTCTTTTAGTATATTTTTTCGTGGAGCACCTATATTTCTGCCCCCGCTTTCCAAGCTTAATTGTCTCATTCAATACAATTAAGAGGAAATTCACATAATGATGACTGTGAGGGAGGGAGGGAGCCTCGTCAATCATCAAATATGAGAATGCTTGTGAATCTTTTCTAGGGATTTTCAGTACTTTGAATAACATACAAAATGCTGCGGTTAACCTCGGGTGCTTGGACATGCAAATGTATTAATCTGCAAGCATTTTAGTGGACACATTTGCAAATAATGCTTTACAATGTTAATTACCAAGTACTACATTTACAAGTTGTCAGAAACCAAATGGATGGTTGTGAACTTTTTGCCGTTAGATTTATAGATAGACCCTATACATATGTAGTCAAAATCATACGGAACACGATCAACACGACGAACTTTTTGGTAAGTGTTATGCACCAACATCACACTTCTTTCTATCTTATGTAAGTTCCATGATATTGTTTCAAATCCTTTCAATTTTAGCAATAATACCTTAATTTTTATCGTCAACATTGGAATTCTTATTAAATTGTGTTCTTTTTCTAAACAGCCTAAGTATTATGGTGGAGACAAGAGAAATATGCTGGATATATTGATTGGATGCAAAATGTCAGGGTGCATGTTCCTTGTGGGTGGTAGAAAGGTTGACGGAAATTTCAAGGTATACTACTTTGTATTGCACGTGTTAAGTTTTTTTGTTCATTTTCTCATAAAATTAAGTAATAACCATTTTATGGAATACTTAGGTTCTTGAAGACCTTGATATACCTGAAGAGCTGAAGGACATGTTTGTCTCGATACCAGAGGAAAAGTTTCGCATGGATATATCATCGACAGAGATAAGGAGAAATATGGGAGTATGATGTCAGGTTATAGTGCATGTTCTTTTCAAGTAATTTTGTGTATGTGAAGTAAAGATCTTTCAAATTTCTTATATTATCTAAAATAGAGAACTGATTTACAGACTGGTTTTCAACTAGTAATGGAATTGTCATTGAATTGTATCATAGATTCATAATGTCTCACCAATCAAAAAAGATGTGGACAAGTTTATCATAAAACTGTTCTTTTTCCCAATAAACTATCTGATTTTTTATATTTTTTACGCCACAGATCTATTATGTTTCTGAGTTTTAAACATATAATTTCATTCATGACATATGATGTGCATCTAGTACATTTACAGCTACAATGAATCAGCAAGATGCATTTCTATGTTTTCCTATTTAGATTCCTTATTTGCTTTCTCAAGTTCTAATAACACAATATCTGCTATTGAACAAAAAGATCCTCTCATGTACTGGTATTTACCTATTTCAACATCCGATTAGAATTTACGAGGTTCAATGGTTGCCTAGAGTTTTTACTTCCTCTTATTAATGTCCACAGGGATTGTTTTATTGACTTGAAAAATGCTAGTTGCTTTGAGCAAGCTGTATTGGCTTTGCCTGGGAATGGATTTAACGTGAACTATCTTCTGAAATACTACATTTCAGGAGACAGAACAGAATCCATGTTTCTCTCTTCATATCCTGATATATCTGGAACTTTTGCTTGTAAAGACATTTCCTTCAGTAAAGATAGGATCCAAGTTCAAAAAAAATAAAAATAAAAATAAAAATGAATCTTATACAGAAGTTGTATGTCTCAGATCTAGTCAATGCAAATTGGGTTTTGTTGGGTTTAAAAATGGAATTATGCTTGAAGACTGGATCGAAGAGACAGAATTCATGTCTCCATATCCTGATCTTTTCTTGGAAACTTGGACTGGAAGGCTCTTTTAATAAAGATAGTATTCAAATTCAAAAGAAATCTTCTGTAGAAATTGTTGCCGCAACTCCTAAATTGGCTTCCAGTTAGTCTTTAGATGCATTAGTGTGGATCTCATAATACCTATGAGCATGTACCAATTTCAATTAGCCTTTGATCTCTTCTGGCAAGGAATAAGAATGACGCATTTTTAGACTTAGCTGTAAATTGTTGAAATGGCTTTTCCTGTACTTGGATACGATATGTGTAGGTGCACTCTAGGTTATGTGAACTTCATTACATTTTCACATGAATGCTTTCCTTTAATTCACACACTAAATATTTACAAGGTTTTTCCTCTTATGGTTTTGCCCTGATAACTTGTCGAGTCTTTCTATACTTCATCGTATCCATAACTTGATATAGTCGCTCATTTGAGCCTTTTCTTTTTATCGACTGTTGCTCTTGGGATCTTTTTGAGAAATTTTGAGTCAAACTTCTTATACATTTTCTTTAGATCCTGGCTTCCCTTTGTGGCAAAATGATCAACTTCGCCTTCATATTGTTCATACAACGCTGGGATGGTGAAGAGGCACAAGAAACCTATAATATGAATGTAAAATCACTAGGGGTTAGATTAATGTGATAAGATCATTTGATCACAGTGTTCTATATAAATAGCATAGAGCTTACAAAAGTAGAGGAGGCTTAGTGCACTGCAATAACTTCCTATCACTGATATTATCCACAGAGAAACGATTGCCTGGAAAGTAGATGATGTTGCATTAGAAGGTTATTTAGGGCTTGCAGATTATAACAGGTAAGAAAGTAAAGGCTGCAAATTTGTGTACCAAGAGGAACATTTTGAGATCTCTTCCACAATCAATGTCGTGTAGGACATGGAGTATTAATTGAACCTGCTGTGAAATGCGATTGCATAGTTTCTGAAAGCGTGCTCGGATAATATGAATTCAGGGATTCGAGGAGGGTTCCTGTAACATAAACTAGATTAGCTGACACTGAACCGAAGCAATTCAATAAAAGGTAACGATTGATTGTGATTAAATTGGGATAGCCAAAATTAACTTGAATCATATTCCACACGTTTATTTATTTATTTGTTTTGATTATGTAACTTTTTAATTTGGCATTTCGAATATATGTTCAAGAACTAATTGTATGTTATCTGGTTTTTTCTGTTTTGTTTCTTGATGTTTCACGTCGAAATATATTATCTTGCAATTTCAGATAATATCTTCTATGTGCAAGCCAGTGCTTAGATACGTGAATACACTTGTTCGATAAAACGTTTTATTAGTATCTTGAGATAATTTATACAAGTTGAATCATTCATATAAATAATACAACAGATTCAGTACAAAAGGATTGTTACCTTCCAAATAGAGGAGCAACATTAGACCAGATGAAGATCACTAGCATTGTCAAGATGAATACGTGACACAGTAGAGTAAGAAAATGGTATTCCATCACCTCAAATAGAAACCATATCAGTGTCACCCCAGCTAGAATCCCAGCTGATAACTGTTTATTTCTCCATAGCAGTATGTTAGCCACTGCATATTTAGAGTTCTATACTTTTAGTTTCTATTAACACGAATGTAAATTGATGATATAGACATCAAGACTGAGATAAAAGAGATTGTAGAACCTCTTCCTCCTCCGAAAAGGCTACGAAGAGGCCTCCGTCGGCTTCTGATTCTGAAGGACGATGATGGTGATTGTTCGTCGTCGTAGATTAATCCTGGCATAATTGTTAGATGATGGCCTTTGTCGATATCTGTCGGCTTCTGATTCTGATTCTGAAGGACGATGGCTGTGGACTTCTTGATTATTAGAAAGATACAATAAAGCTTTTATAAGAAAGCCTGGGTACCAAGCTTTGTAGGCAAGAATGCTGAAAGAACTTGGAGGAAAGGGATAGCTTCAACGATGATTAGCTGAGGCCTGAAAGATTCTTGTTTGCTTCCTGTGGAGGTGAATGTTGGTTGAGGACAAGAATGTCTAAGGGTGCAGTTTTACCTCTTATCTGGGTTAAGAGTCAAACCTGTAGGGAGTGAATGGTCTGAATATGATCAAACATAATGCAGATCACATGCATCAAATATCCGAATACGAGTATGAACGTCGTTTTATTTTTGGTAGGGTACAGATACGAATGCGGATATAATTAAAACATCAGGATTTGTATCGGGATATCCAGGTATATGTTTGATCAGAAGATTGAAATCATTTTGGTCTCGTACGTATGAGACCAGATTTAATAATCAAAACATATAAAATTAGTTTTTAAATATACTGAACATAGGGATGGACTCTGATTTGAGAAATTTTGTTTTATTTACGATCTCTTCTATTACACAGCATGCGTACTTTTCAATATTGTTTGATATATGCTCGTTCAAATGCCGATAAAATCTCTTGTTGATCAATGTAATCGATGGTGTTTGTAGCAGAGAGAGGCAAGCATAAGCTAGGGTTATTGGCTTCTTCTTCTGATGATGATGATCCTGTGACCGTAATACTTTTTACTTTTCGCGTTGGGGTACCGTACGTCTAGAAATTTGCTGAGAAACGACCATGCGGCAACGTAAGCAGAAAGAACAAATGGTCCCGAGTAAATATCTCATTCTGAGGAAGAATACAAAGCTATATATATAATATATAGATCGAGAAGCAAAGATTTCAATCGTCAATAGATATTAGAGACTACTAATTATATACGATTAGTTCCTCATCATAAAGTAATAATTTTTCAATTATGAGCTTAAATTCTATTTATAAATCAAATTATGATAAAAAGTAAATTATTTTCTTAATTAAATCGTCTAACAATCATAAAGTTTGTATTATTAATCAAATAAGCATATTTTAATATTCAATAGATTCATGAATATTAGAAAAGTATTACTTTCCATCTCGGTGTTCCATAGATATTCATGAATATTAGAAAAGAATTGGTATTTTCTTTAGAGTTTCAAAAAATTTAGAAAACGAATTCATATAGGGGTCCGTTTCCGGCTCTATACAACCAATTCCTCTTTTCTTTTTCGGGTGCGGATCCAACCGAAACCAAATGGATCAGTGAGAATATCCAAAACCCGCTAGCAAGGGGCATTAAGTCTTTTCGCATTAGGGACTGCCCTTTTAAGTATACAGCTTGGCTTCGACTAGAGAGGTAAACGCAGCGCACCGTTTTCCTCTGTCAGCTGACTCGAGTTTCTAGGGTTTCTTCTATCCTTTCCTCGAATATGAGGTGCAACTCTCAAAGATCGCTCCTTTAGGGTTTCTATACTTAGAACTTCCTTGTTATTTCGTCATCTTTTGATTCTGTTTGTAGCTATTTGATCGAACATAGAGGCTAGGGTTGCGCTGCTTTAGAGTTTTAACTTAAGATTGGCACTTTGTTTCTTCATTTAGTTAGTGAAAATACTTACTTTTTATCTTTTGCTCTTTTGAAATATTATCTTTGCTGTTTTAATGGGAGTCTGATATTTGTTTAGGATGTCATATTTTGAAAATTTCTGGTGTCGAGCTTGGTAGTTGTCGAACTCAGTAGAGGATTGGGTAATAAAGAGAGGAGATCATGTTGTGCATGGAAAAAGCTGGGATAATATTTTGTGGTTTGTTGTTGATGATTTTGCGATTTACGAAAAGATTCTGATTGATGAATTGCTTCAAATTCCATAGGGTTTTTACTTTAAACCATGTTTAAGTTTGTCAAGATTTGCAGGGACATATAAGCAACATGCCAAAAATGACTTCTTTGTTGTAGCTTTGGCCGAGATGCTTACGTCTATTGTTAAGTACAGTATGGTTTTACTTCACATAAACTTTAACTTATGATGAATACACATCTCCCTCTTCCTCCTTTCGTTTGCAAACTGTGCTTCTCCAGATTCCATAAAGTTATTGTATATCTAATCCTCTTAAAGAATCACAATAAAAATGGTGGAATCAGAATTTCCGTTGCTACAGGGTTTTGAAGATATCTATTTAAAGCTTTCATAAATCTACAATGCCACTACAATGCCAACATTGGGACAAATGTTTGATATTAATCTTCTTGTACCTTTGGCTATTCACTGGAGTGACAACACTCAAATGAAGAGTGGTGCATAGGCATAGACATCTGTTTTTTTATTTTATTTTATGATGCACATGTTTAGGCAGTTACCTGTGGATAACGCCACATTTTCAGAGTCCAGATATTAGTTTATTTACAATTTATTTTTATTTTTTGCATTTTTCTTTTGGATTTCATCAAGTCTTCTTATATATATATATATTAATTGCTAATGCTATTTTTTATTATGCAACATTTCATCCTCTTAATGGTCACTAGTTCAGGTAGAGGTAGGTACCTTTGTTGTTTCTGAATACCTGATCTTTTGAAGATGAATCTTTTTGACTACCCACCTCTTAACTAACATGCCAAATCCATAGACTAGGAGATGATATCATTTTGTTCCATATAGTTGGTGATCTATTTTAGATTATTTATTTATTTGTTATTTATTTTTCTCTGATGCCTGGCCAGTGTTGGTGAAGTGCTTAGTCCACTCACCCTTTTTTTGTGACAATCATTGTTGTCAAGGCGCAAGGTGCAATTTGGGGTACACAGTCCGTTATTGTGCACCATGCGCAAGGTGCAATGTGATGCATGTGCTTCAATGAAGCAAGGCGCATGTCGCTGACATTATTTTTCATTATTAGAAAAACAAAATTGAGGAACATGTTTATAATTTTCACATAAAAAAGATGTGAACATAAATGATATCAACTACCAATCACATAATAAGGTCTTAATTTATAATGTTACACAGTGGATGTAGTGAAGGTCATAACTTCCCAGTTTCTTGATAAAGAAGAATGACAGTTATCATTGCCATCAGATATATCATTGCAAGCAATAATCAATAGAAGGAAACTCATCTTGAGGCTGCAGTGAAAAAAGGAGATATATCGGAGACATTAATGTTTCCCTAATGCAACCTTGCCTCTATGATGCATGAAACTATGTCTGTGACTGTAAGAATTATTACTTGTGGGCAGTAGCAAACTAGCAATGCTTCTTGACTAAAGTTAAAATCAAAATTGACCTTTCGGATTCCGAGTCTTCTGACAGATTAGAAGCTATAAATGGGAAATAATTACAGATCTCATCTTTCAATTGTTCTTGAACTTGTGCTAATACTTGCATGCTATTCATGGTATTTCTTGACCTTCCTAGTATGGTGACAGGCAATTTATGTAGAAAAGCTATTAACTTCTTATTCTAGAAAGAGTAATACTGACACTACTTTTTTTGCTTCAAATTTCTAGTCGTTATCCTGAAGTTAAATGGGCTGAGAGACTCGACAAAGTTTACATCACAGTGCAACTGGCTGATGCAAAAAATGTGAAAGTGAACCTTGAACCTGATGGCGTTTTCACCTTTTCTGCGAATGCTGGCACAGATAGTAATGTGTATGAGATCAAACTGGATCTTCATGATAAAGTAAATGTTGAGGTAAGGCTTGCAATATGATACTATTAGCTGTGTGAAATTAACAGTTTAAAATAACATGTCTTACCCTTGGTCGTGTTTGCAATTTTCAGGATAGCAAAATAAACACAGGTGTTAGGAATATCTTCTGTGTTTTGGAGAAGGCAGAGAAGGGATGGTGGAAAAAGCTTTTACGTGGGGATGTCAAAACACCTCACTATGTGAAAGTTGATTGGGACAAGTGGGTGGACGAAGATGATGACAATGACGGTCTGTCCAGTTTTTGAGCATATTTAATTTTAGTCAAGAGTATAATATTAAACACAGCACAACCTAGAGTTATTTCCACAAGTGTTATAATGAACATTCTACTAAACAATATGAAAGATAAACACACACTTCTATTTTATTTGAATCAAAAGAGAATCTTGCGAAAGCACCTGATTTTTTGAGTTGGGAAGTTTTCATGTCTAATAGTAATGGTATATTTGTGCATAGAGAAGTGCTCTGTTTGAAATTGAGAAGTCTGTTTTTAACTAGCATCTATCGGACAGTTGGTAAGCTGTCACGTTTACTTTTAGAATAGAATAAGATGAAGCATATCTTTACTTCATTTGATTAAGGTTGTATCTTGTTGATTATTTCTTTAGCTATCATATGGTTGTTCTCGCAGCGGTAAATAGGCTAAAAATTAGTATCTGCTATCGATGTTATACTTTCTGTGTTTTTATTTTGGAAAATTCCAATTCTTCTGCATTATGTAAATTTCTTTTGTTGCGCTTTCTAAGTTTCTTGTTCCTATCAGGCCCTTCTAATTTGGATTTGGATGGAATGGACTTCTCGGTAGGCAGAATTTTCCTTTCCTAAAGCCCTTACATTAGTGTTATTATTTTTGGGATTTATCCTCATTGTCCTACTACTATATTTATCATCTTGTACAGAATTTTGCTAATATGGGCGGTATGGGCGGCATGGGTGGCATGGGTGGCATGGGCGGCATGGGTGGTATGGGTGGCATGGGTGGTATGGGTGGTATGGGTGGCATGGATATGGGTGCCATGGGTGGCATGGATATGGGTGCCATGGGTGGTATGGATGATGATCTTGAAGATACTGATGACGAAGGTGCTTATTCTAGACACTTGTTGCTTTTTCAACCAGCATGCCTTCTTTTTTTAATCTTTAAACTAGACATTTTTATTTGATAACAAATTTTATTTTTCTCTTTATGCTGGTTGTCAGTGGCATACTAGATCAACAGCGAATATTTGGTTTTAGCATGTACATTCATGTATAATTGTATATGCATCCACTATAAGTAATATGATTAGTATGAAATCACAAGATTCACAACATACTTTTGGGAATTAGAACGTATATTTGTATTTTTCTTTCTTCTATGTGAATTAGGGTTACTAAAAGAAAGGATCTTAAGGTACTGCTGGAAACTTTTGCATGCATACATTAAGAAGATACTTAAATGCATAACCCTCTAGGCTTTTTATGGACTAATAAATGCTTTTCCTGTCCGTTGCAGCATGCATATTGTGCTTTATACACCATGCTACTATTAATTATAGAGCCTTCTGTGAGATAAAAATTGATACATGCCTCCCTAAATATGTGTTTCCTAGATTGAAATTATGCATATTTTGTTCATCACATATCTAAACTCATATATAACTAGCTATTAGTATGTTGAATTGCTAATCTAGAAATTTTGAGCTGCTAATTCCGAATGGTGTTACTCGATAATATCTCTTCTGAGCAATCAATTGTTTTTCATGGTCTGAGGTCTTCCAACAGAACTCACATCAGCCTGCTAGTTACCTGTTTTTCAATTTATGTAAACTACTAGAGTTATCAATCATCTGACATTTTATTTACTTAACCCATTCTTGTTCTGAGCTACAACAGTTTTTGGACAGTACTTGTTAACTGTTCTAAATTGCATTAGACTTCTTGAGATCTTAAGCCTTGTTTCGATTGTTAAAATACAATTCATCAGATTTAATTTGGATGAAAATCGTTTGTACTGATGAAAAATACGAGTTTCCATCCAAAATGTAAAAGATCCTGATCTTCATGATATTATGATTTTCATGATATCATGTTTCTATTAAGTTTCTCTCTAAAGTATTTTCATCCTGAAAAATAAACTTTATTAATGCATAAATAATAATCAAATAATTATTTTTAAGTAAATTCATGATTCAAAGTAATAATATATTTTAATAGAAAACAAAATGGTTCCCGAGTACTTTTATTAAATAAAAATGTAGTTGATATTATTTTTTATATTAAAATTTTAAGGTTCAGTAATCATTAATCAATGGATAATCACTCTCTACTTTAAAATTAAACTCATAATAATTTATTTTTATTCCACTAAAAAACCAAATTAATATAAAAATAAAGTCATGAACTAATAGTTTTGTATTATTATTTCTAGTTTCTCCTCTACTTCCGATTGAAAGCCACCAGAAGTCAACAAGCCAAGATTACAGTTGATACGAGTCGCCGTGCGAGCACCTTTGATCGCGGAATTATCAAATGTGGGTTGAGAAGATGACAGAAACACAAGAATAATTCAGTATGCGACGAAGGAAAATACCCTCTCTAGATTATGAGTATGAAAAGATTACAATCTCTCTCTCACAATCTCACTAGAATCGCGAACAAACTCTCAATTCTCTCTAAACTCTAATCTCTCTTGATTAGAATCTCTCTTTGATTGCTTTCTCCCTCTTTTAAAACCCTAAAACAATCCTTTATATAGGTGTAACAACGTGGATGACAAAGTGGTAAATAACCAAGCCCAAACCCCACAAGAATTCGTGCAAACAGAAACTCTAACGAACCAGGAAACCGTCGATGAGTCGACTCATAAACATGCATGAGTCGACTCATGCCAAGTGAGTCGGTCGATGAGTCGACTCATAAACATGCATGAGTCGACTCATGCCAAGTGAGTCGTCTCATGATGAGGTGACTCGATTCGTCAGAAATTTTTGACAAAACGGTTGGGTTTCGTGAGTCGACTCATGACAGGCATGAGTCGACTCAACCTGATGAGTCGACTCATGTACATGTATGAGTCGACTCACGGGTTGAAAACTGGATGCTTCAATTCACTGTCTCGTTTCACGCTTCAATCTGCGTTCCATTGTGTTATTTTACACCTCTATTCTCAAGTTATCATGAGAATCATCTATCCTCAAGTTCCCATGAGGATCGTTAAGTTCCGAAGAGAAGATACACCCATATCATGAGTCCCCCATTTAGGAATTTTAAGTCTCATTCAAGTTAGAACTTCAGCGGAGGAAACTCGCAAGCTCCTCCTTCCCTGTTGAACCACTTAGCCTTGTTAGGAACCTGACATTGACGTCTAATGAGAAATGACTCCTTTGTCCCCCGCCTCGTCATGGTCGTCTTTCGCTCCAAAATACAATCTTCCTTCAGCGACTTCTCTCTATCAAACCACAAGTCATCAACATGCGACAAGATCACCTTGTCGTAACCTTCATCTTCTTCTTCCTTAATTTTTGGACTCCTTCCAATGAAATAAGGATCTCGTCTAGCTTCTTGTATTGCGATCGAGTCAGGATCATACACAGGATGCCCCCTTCATAGGATCTGATCGTTCTGATACCAACTTGATATTAGTTGTCGTGTGAGCACATTTGATCGCGGAGTTATCAAATGTGGGTTGAGAATAGGATGACAGAAACACAAGAATAATTCAGTATGTGGCGAAGAAAAATACCCTCTCTAGATTATAAGTATAAAAAGATTACAACCCCTCTCTCACAATCTCACTAGAATCGAGAACAAACTCGTAATTCTCTCTAAATCCTAATCTCTCTTGATTAGAATATCTCTTTGATTGCTTAAAAAACCCTAAAACAAGCTCTTATATAGGTTTAACAACGTGGATGGTAAAGTGGTAAATAACCAAACCCAAACCCCACAGGAATTCGTGCAAACAGAAACCCAAACGAACCAGGAAACCGTCGATGAGTCAACTCATAAACATGCATGAGTCGACTCATGCCAAGTGAGTCGTCTCATGATGAGGTAACTCGACTCGTCAGAAATTTTTGACAAAACGGTTGGGTTTCGTGAGTCGACTCATGACAGGCATGAGTCGACTCAACCTGATGAGTCGACTCATGTACATGTATGAGTCGACTCACGGGTTGAAAACTGGATGCTTCAATTCATTGTCTCGTTTCACGCTTCAATCTGCGTTCCATTGTGTTGTTTTACACCTCTATTCTCAAGTTATCATGAGAATCATCTATCCTCAAGTTCCCATGAGGATCGTTAAGTTCCGAAGAGAAGATACACCCGTATTATGAGTCCCCCATTTAGGAACTTTAAGTCTCATTCAAGTTAGAACTTCAGCGGAGGAAACTCGCGAGCTCCTCCTTCCCTGTTGAACCACTTAGCCTTGCTAGGAACCTGACATTGACGTCTAATGAGAAATGACTCATTTGTCCCCCGCCTCATCATGGTCGTCTTTCGCTCCAAAATACAATCTTCCTTCAGTGGCTTCTCTCTATCAAACCACAAGTCATCAACATGCGACAAGATCACCTTGTCGTCACCTTCATCTTCTTCTTCCTTAATTTCTGGACTCCTTCCAATGAAATAAGGATCTCGCCTAGCTTCTTGTATTGCGATCCAGTCAGGATCATACACAGGATGTCCCCTTCACAAGATCTGATCGTTCTGATACCAACTTGATACTAGTTGTCGTGCGAGCACCTTTGATCGCGGAGTTATCAAATGTGGGTTGAGAAGAGGATGACAGAAACACAAGAATAATTCAGTATGTGGCGAAGGAAAATACCCTCTCTAGATTATAAGTATGAAAAGATTACAATCCCTCTCTCACAATCTCACTAGAATCGAGAACAAACTCTTAATTCTCTCTAAACCCTAATCTCTCTTGGTTAGAATATCTCTTTGATTGCTTAAAAAACCCTAAAACAAGCACTTATATAGGTGTAACAACGTGGATGGTAAAGTGGTAAATAACCAAGCCCAAACCCCACAGGAATTCGTGCAAACAGAAACCCAAACGAACCAGGAAACCGTCGATGAGTCGACTCATAAACATGCATGAGTCGACTCATGCCAAATGAGTCGTCTCATGATGAGGTGACTCGACTCGTCAGAAATTTTTGACAAAACGGTTGGGTTTCGTGAGTCGACTCATGACAGGCATGAGTCGACTCAACCTGATGAGTCGACTCATGTACATGTATGAGCCGACTCACGGGTTGAAAACTGGATGCTTCAATTCACTGTCTCGTTTCACGCTTTAATCTGCGTTCCATTGTGTTGTTTTACACCTCTATTCTCAAGTTATCATGAGAATCATCTATCCTCAAGTTCCCATGATGATCGTTAAGTTCCGAAGAGAAGATACACCCGTATCATAAGTCCCCCATTTAGGAACTTTAAGTCTCATTCAAGTTAGAACTTCAGCGGAGGAAACTCGCGAGCTCCTCCTTCCCTGTTGAACCACTTAGCCTTGCTAGGAACCTGACATTGACGTCTAATGAGAAATGACTCCTTTGTCCCCCGCCTCGTCATGGTCGTCTTTCGCTCCAAAATACAATCTTCCTTCAGCGGCTTCTCTCTATCAAACCACAAGTCATCAACATGCGACAAGACCACCTTGTCATCACCTTCATCATCTTCTTTCTTAATTTCTGGACTCCTTCCAATGAAATAAGGATCTCGTCTAGCTTCTTGTATTGCGATCGAGTCAGGATCATACACAAGATGCCCCCTTCACAGGATCTGATCGTTCTGATACTAACTTGATACTAGTTGTCGTGCGAGCACCTTTGATCGTGGAGTTATCAAATGTGGGTTGAGAAGAGGATGACAGAAACACAAGAATAATTCAGTATGTGACGAAGAAAAATACCCTCTCTAGATTATAAGTATGAAAAGATTACAATCCCTCTCACAATCTCACTAGAATCGAGAACAAACTCTTAATTCTCTCTAAACCCTAATCTCTCTTGATTAGAATATCTCTTTGATTGCTTAAAAAACCCTAAAACAAGCTCTTATATAGGTGTAACAACGTGGATGGTAAAGTGGTAAATAATCAAGCCCAAACCCCACAGGAATTCGTGCAAACAGAAACCCAAACGAACCAGGAAACCGTCGATGAGTCGACTCATAAACATGCATGAGTCGACTCATGCCAAGTGAGTCGTCTCATGATGAGGTGAGTCGACTAGTCAGAAACTTTTGACAAAACGGCTGGGTTTCGTGAGTCGACTCATGACAGGTATGAGTCGACTCAACCTGATGAGTCGACTCATGTACATGTATGAATGTACATGTATGAGTCGACTCACGGGCTGAAAACTGGATGCTTCGATTCGTCGTCTCGTTCCACGCTTCAACCTGCGTTCCACTGTGTTGTTTTACACATCTATTCTTAAGTTACCACGATAATCATCTATCCTCAAGCTTCCATGAGGATCGCTAAGTTCCAAAGAGAAGATACACCCGTATCAACAGCCTGAGAGTTTAGTTAGTTAAGAGGGAGGGAAATTAGAAACATGTCGTTGACTGCGCTTGAACAAAAGAAAAGATTCCCATTCTTTGGGAGAAGGGAACTTGGGCTCAGAGCCTGTAGGAACAACCCCATCCTAATAAGGTTATTTATTAGAATATCTTATCCTGAACATATTCAGTTAAACAAGGTTAACCTGCACATACAAAACCGTAGGGGATTAACTGCAGCTATATAGGCGTGCAAAGACAATACTTGTTCTGACTAGACCTATTCTTTATCTGACTGGTTTTGACGTAAATTATGTAATGACCTGACATGGTCTTTGAAAACAGATAAATCCATAAAGGTGTTGAGAAGATGTTAGCAAATTATTTGCATGCCTCTTACTCGTATATGAAAAGAGATAAAAGTAAATATTTTAAATCAGTTCATTTAGCATACTATGCAGTATCAATTATAAAAATCCTATTTACGGAAGGCAAACGAATAAGCTTAAATTCAGGCAACATCAATTAAGAAAGATCAACTAGAAATCACGGTAGAATAAAAATCACAATCATGCATAGAGCTTAAATTCTTAATGCCGGCGTGTCAATAGTTAAAGTAGATACTTAACAGTTCAAATATTTGAATATTGAAGTTTTCAATGCAAACTTTCTAAAATTTTTTTATAGTAGTCTTTTGAAACCCTTTCTTTTCTGAAAACCCCTATTTCAAGCTCAATATATATATATAGTATATTATATATATTATACTAATATAATATAATATAATATATTTATTAAGAGAAACGGGAGGTGAGCTGACACGTTAGGAAAGTTTCGCTGCGCTGGCAAGTGTAGTGCAATGTGAGTCCCCACGATGTGACTAGTAGGGGGGCTACACATGTCATACACTTGCAGCGTCAGGAAATTTCCTACGCTGCCAGCTGACCTCCCGTTTTTCTTAATATATATTATATATATATATATATATAATAACCATTTGTTCTTCATGCTTTAGTTATATTCGTTGTTGCTAAGTCGTGAATAATCATTATGATAATGAGTTTTCTGAACCGACAACCATCTTTGCAGAACAAGCCACATCAAAGGCTGAAGTTGCAGGTAAAGCTGAGGAAATTTCTTCAGAGGGCAAAACAGAAACAGCTCCATCCACTTGAAGTATTTTATTATAATGCTTTTGTTGCCCTACTGGGTTGATAACAGAAAGGGTAGCTGATTATGATGGGTTTGGTATGTTGATGATTATTGACTGGTTGAATGTACTTGCTGTGAGTTTGCTTTTTCGTCGGTAGCCCGGGGAGGCCAAGTTTTATCATTACGCGGGATTACTTGATATCATGGGCCTTTTTTATGGCTCTGTTAAGTCACTTTCTAATGTTTATGTTATTTTGCTATATTAGAAGTTTTATCCTGCTGTTTATTAGTAAAGCTGTGTCTTGCTATGTTTAGTGTGTAAAAATTCTCAAAGTTTAGCCCCCTCGATAAGAAATATGATGATCTTACCAATGGGAATATGATGATCCTACTAATGGGATTAAGCGTACAATTTTAGCTTATGATTCGCAGAAAGGCGCATTGTGCCTGCATTTTATGCAGGTTACCTTCAATGGAAACTTGAACCCCTCGTCGTCTTCAGATGCGAGCGGTAGCAGTATGACCACTGTTTGTGCGCATCAGATAAATGGATGCCATGCGAGATGCTTACAGGGAGTTCCATGCAAGGTACCTACAAGAGTTGATTTTGAAGCTCGACCGTACCATGGGCTAAACTCAACAGGTCCAAATTTCACGGACTTCAAAATTCGCTATAGCCAAGTTCAACACTTAATTTCCGTAGAATAGAAACCTGTAATCAAAATTTATGTGCATCTCAACGATCTTAGATAACCACCAAATTCTAATCTGTAAAATGCGTGTATTTCCTTGTATAAGTTGGCCACCAATCAACACCAGGATCCAAACTTTCTTGGTTATGTTATACGAGTCCTTGCTCTTTCGTTCACTTTCTATTCAAGGCTATGCGCACTTGAGTGAAGCATTATTATGGCTTTTTCTCACTTGGCCATTACACCGCCTAATCAGAAATAAAAAATAAAAAAAAAACAAAATCAAATTGACTACTTTCTAAAAGAAATTTAAAATCAAAGTTGAACTCATAATCAGTGGACTCATACTTCAACACCTGCCGGTGTGAATCAAAAGTTATAAAATCGGTGATTGTACTTTGACAATGCCCTGATTCCTGCAAGCTGCCAGATATCATACCCACTTCCGAACAGCCAGAATTTCCGTAATATCTGCCGAACGCCCAGAATCCGTGAAATTTTTCTTCATCTTTGTTGCTTGTTATGCACGCAAGCAGCAAGTCCGCATCTTTCTTAAAAGCATTAACATCAAACACAATTACATCGTTATACGCTAAAATCACTATTCTTCCATTTCTAGCATTATGGATTAAGTAATCACGGCATGATTGCTTTGTGTACAAGAAAGAGCAAGGACAAAAAATTGCATTCGTTCAAAGAAAAATAAACGTTGACAAAAATCATGGGTTATGGCTCATAAATTTTCGTTCGTTGAAAATGAATAAAAATTATCCAAAATTGTGGGTTATAGTTCATAAAAAATATGAAATTTGATGTATATCTTATTCATTTGAAACGAACAAAAAATTTTCAAAAATCATAGATTATATATACAATTATAAATTTTGATATACATGTAATAAATTTACATTCATGAAATGAACAAAAGTTGAATAAAATGGTGGGTTGTCATAAATTTGTGAATTTTAATGTACATATGATAAATTTGTATTCGATCAAAATGGAAAAAATTTGAAAAATGTTGCACTATACCTCATGAAAATCATAAATTTGGCTAAACACACAATAAATTTGCATTCGTTCAAAACGAATAAAAATTGATAAAAACATAGGTTATAGATGATAACATCCCGAATGTTTACGTACACACAAGAAATTTTCATTTGTTTAAAATGAAAATTTTGATAAATATGGTGGGTTATAGCTTATGAAATTTGTAAATTTTGATGCACACATAATAAATTCGTATTCATTGGAAACAAACCGAAATTGGCAACAATAATAGAGAAACTAACTTCATTCCTCTAACGCGTTGCATATGTGCAAGACTCTCTTCCTATCGGGGAATCAACAATCAAAGGAGATCAAGGGACCCTAACCTCTTTAAAATTAGCCCTAAATCCTGCTATTAATCATCTGTGCATCAGCAATAGCTCACTAAAAACTTGAATTTTGATGTACACTAAAAAACTGAAAAAAAAATCATTGGTTGCAGGTCGTGAAAATCGTGAATTTTGATGTACTCATATTAAATTTGGTTTCATTTAAAATGAAAAAAAAACTTGTCCAAAATCATGGGTTACAACTCATGAAAAATATGAATTTTAATGTACACATAATATATTTGCATTCATTTTTAAATGAACATAACTGACAAAAATCATAGGTTATAGCTCATGAAAATCGATAGTTTTGATGTACACAAAACAATTTGCATTCATTGGAAATGGACTAAAATTATACAAAACTATAGGTTATAGGTCATGGAAAGCATGAATTTCTATATACACATAATAAATTTTCATTCATTCTAAACAAATAAAAATAACAAAAATTATGGGTTACAACTCATGTAAATGACAAATTTTGATGTACACATGATAAATTTGTATTCATTCAAAATTAATGAAAATTATGACTTAGAGGTCATGAAAATTGCAAATTTTAATGTACACACAATAAATTTTTATTCATTTATGAAGAACAAAAATCATGAGTTATAGCTCATGAAAATTATAAATTTTGATGTATACATAATAAATTTGCATTCGTTCGAAAGCAACAAAAACTATCCAAAATCATGGGTTATAACTTATTAAAATTGGAAATTTTTAATGTACACATAATAAATTGACATTTGTCTAAAATGAATAAAAATATTCAAAAAATATTAAAAATTATAGGTATGTAGATCATGAAAATTATTAATTTTGATGTACACTATATAAATTTGCATTCATTGGAAACGAATAAGAACTGTCCAAAATTGTGGTTATAACTCATGAAAAATATGAATTTTTATGTATATATAATAAATTGTTATTCATTTAAAACTAAAAAATATTCCAAAATCATAGGTTACAGCTTAATAAATTATAAAATTTTTGATGTATATGTAATAACTTTACTTTCATATGAAACTAGTGTGTACCCCGTGCCAAGCACGGCCCTCGCCTCTTTTCTACAATTCGTTAATGTTGTTTAATCTCAATTTTATTTTTATACAAAATTATTCTTATAGCTAGCAACTATGAAGACCTTCAAATGAGTTGCAATTGGAAAATTGATGCCTAATAATATTGTATGGTGCAAATATAACAATACTATTCCAACAACTCACACATAATGGCCTAATAAAACAATATAGCAACAAAACTCTACATTCAATATAACATATATTCATGAATCAGTCACTTGAGTGACAACCAATCATGAATTTTTACGAAGGAGTTATCTCTTGATGCATATTTTAGTTCATCATACAAAATAATGCAAACTATCCTCTTAACTATATCGTGTCTCAAAGACAAACATTATAATATCGTATATTTATCATTAGGGGGGAAAAAGAAACAAAGCCAGTAAAAAGAAGAGAAATAAGAGCAAAACCTGAAATAGAACAATTACAGGCTTAAATGAGGTCTTGGATTATGTAGGCGTGGAAATTTCCTACTACGAGATGTTCTTAACGACCTTCTCCGTCACCTGAAAACATAGAAGTTCATTATCACTGATTCTAACAGAAAAATTATAAAATATGAAACTGACCTGTCCAAAAAAATATTTTCAAATATTAAAATTGACTACCATAAATCATCAACTAAGTATAATAATCTCTTTATTAATGTGTCTTTTCAAAGATTTGTTATTAATGTTAAACAGAAATAAGTAGAAAATGAACAAAATTTTGACAGAGGAAATCTTCAGATCTGAGCACATATCAATAGTTTATTACTTTAGAGGAAATATTCAGATCTGAGCACATATTAATAGTTCATTCTCTCGCCAACTACGGCAGAAGAAATCTTTATTTTCTCCTCAATAAAAGCTCCCCAAAATTTCTAAAAAATGATCAGTAATTGTCATTGACGAAATTTAGAAACTTTTGTTTTTATCTTCATGGTTATACCATCCCTAGCCATCATTAACCAAATCATACCTCCCCTCAAAATTATACTACAAAATTTAATCAAAAATCATACCTTTCTCGAGACCAATTGTTTCCCGATCTCCAGCCATTTGTTTTTAATAGCTTGTGACAAACTGATCTTAAAAATCTGACCGCCTACTATTTTCTGAAAAAAAAATCAAACAAAAAAGATAAATAAGCACAATCACCAAACAAAAATACTCAAAAATCTCAAAATTATTACTATATTGTATAATTTTTTATTTATTGAAGGCACATTCTCAGATGACACGATCACAACTGGGATATCCTTGAGATTGTGAATATTTTCAAAATAAATAAAAAACAAAATTTTCAAAAAGTATATATAAAAAGCTCACATTTTGTTCAGGATGAGTATAAGAAGAATCAGAAGATGATGAATCTACTTGCTCATCTTGCTGCAAGTTTAAACATATTACCTAAATCACATTTTGTTCAGCAAAAAATATTACCTAAATCAAGTTTAAACATAAGGTTTAGGTATATGATCAGAATTAGGCACTATTAAGATTAGCTAAATCAAATTTAATCATTATAAATAGAAATTAGCATCTTCAGTATGCTAAAAGAAGTAACTAAATAATCCAAAAATAACAATCTAAGGCGCAAAAAATTAGAATTTAGCTCAAATTCATCACCATGATTTATATTTCAATCACTATGCTCAAATTCATCACCAATCACCATAGAATTGTTTGAAATCTGTATTATTAGTTTAAAGCACAATAGTTTTTCAGTTATGTTTCTCATCAGCACAAGCATTTGATTACAACTTTCATGGAAATTTATATTAAAACACTGCAGTGTTGTCAAAATCTCAGGTCTAGCAAAGGAGGAAAATTTAAAAAAAAAAGCTAGTGATGGAAGTGCAGGAGAGAAGGACATCAATTTGATATTCAATGTAGAACAGGGATAAGTGATCAGCAAATATAAACTCCATAAAGTAAAATTCTAGGAAACAAAATTCTAGTGAATGTGAAAGTGAAACATCAGATTGCTTTGAGGAAGTTGCTTTAAGCCTTCATTATAATACACAGAGATGATGCTAGTCAAGTAATAGTTTACGTAAACCCACTCAAAATAACTGGCAGTAACTCCGCCTGAATTTGCAAAAAACCCACACAAAATAAAATCAGAGAAAGTACCTGCAGTTTTCTTCTTTTCAAAGAGGAAATCTTGGGATAGAGAATTATGAGCAATTTGTGAAGGTCAATCAACAAATATCAAATTAAAAGACTGATTACTATAAAAGACATACTTTGATAATTCTTATAGAGAATAGTTATACAATTCTTATATAGTAAAGAAGAGAAAGAATGGAAAAATATAATTCACATTACATTCTTCACAATTATACTAATTTATAACACAAATTTTGAGTTGCGGTGGCAGCATTTACGTGAGAAGTAGCATTTCATAGTTCCTAAAAAGCTAGAAACACTACTAATATTATTACAGATTTCAGAAGAAGACTTAAATACAAATATAATGACTTTTGTAGCATGAATAATAATTAACAAATTTAGTTCAAGAGTGTTAACATAGTCTACAATGAAACTAATTTGACTAACATTTCTCTAAAGCTTACACCAAAACTTTAAAAAAGGCAATACTTGCTACTTTAACCGTAAAAAAAGTTGATACCTGACTGGTTCTTCCATTCTCATCTGAAAATTTTTAATCAATCAGTTTGAGCCTGAAGCAAAGAGGATAACTAAACACACAACATAAGTCGATCAATTAAAATGATTAAAATCTTTAAAACCTGAAATTAGAAAACGGCAAAAAAAAGATAATTCGTACAAATAGCGAATAATTCCAATCACAAAAAAATATCAATTCATTCCAATCAAGCTCTCAAGTTAGTTACAGTTTTTCAACACTAAAAGGATCAAATTAAAGTTATAATGTGGTTTTCCCTTGTTCCTAAAAGAACATACTACCTAAATAAGCAATAAAATTTTGCTGAGTAAAGTATAAAAATCAAAATTTGTTGATTGAACCCCTAAATCCCTAAAAATAAATACCTCGAGATTTAAAGGTGAGCATTGAGTCGTTCTAGACTAAAAACTAAGAGAAAGATAAATCTCCATAAAGATTCTCAAATTGATCTCCTTAACTGCAAATCGAAGCAAGTGAGTAAGGAATAAACCACAAAAAATCGGTAAGAACCAATTTGTAAATAAATTATAATGAATTGCAAATCGAAGCGCTACTAATATTATCAGAGATTTCAGAAGAAGACTTAAATACAATTCCAACAATTATCTCTCAATCACTAACTCACATAGCTACTTAGTAACAAACTGTAACAACCAATTAGTAAATAAAATATAATGAATTGTGATTGGATAACATCAACATGTAAGATCCACTTGGCAAGAAACATTTAACATTAGGTTTATTTCCCCTCAACAATTGAGCATACATAAAAATGAGCATTTGAAATGATCCAATAATGTATTGGAAAAAAATAAAGGCTATTGAAATAATATATAAAAACGACTTTTAAAAATGTGTAATAATTAACAAATTTAGTTGAAGAGTGTTAACATAGTCTACAATGAAACTATTTGACTAACATTTCTCTAAAGCTTACACCAAAACTTAAAAAAAGGCAATATTTGCTACTTTAACCGTAAAAGAAGTTGATACATGACTGATTCTTCCATTCTCATCTGGAAATTTTTAATCAATCAATTTGAGCCTGAAGCAAAGAAGAAATATTGGTTTCTCCCAAGCTATGTCCCAAAGTGCTTGCTAGGGCCGCATATTTATTTCCATTTCCATAAATCTTAACATATTTTCTAATTATTTCCTACATGCATAAGTAATTGCCATTATTGAACAGAAAAATAGGAAATTAGAAACTGAAATTGCAAACAATCTGCCCTTGTTGAGAGCAAGTACCTGACTTTGAGAGCTCAACTCATCCACAAGAAGCTCCGATATAAAAATCCTAGGCAAATGCAAGCTACATTTGTTACTGTACACACAAAGCTCTCAACTTTTTTCTTGGAAACCTCAGTTCATCTCGTTGAGTATAACCAAAATCCAAGAAGAATGTCGCAATTGAATCAATCCCATGACCATCTACCTTCAAAATTAGAAAAATAAAAACATAGTATAGCAGTAATGGAATCAAGCATTAAAAAAAATTTCTACTCAAGTAAACTTTCTCCATGCTCGAGAGCGCCGATGTAAAGAACGATTGAGACTGCGAGCCCTGTGATATATTAAAAACAGCAATTTATTTACATAACACCTCAATTCACGTTTCTTCTAAAACAAATATCAAAAATAAGAAAAGATCACCTTCGTGGTTCTTCAGTTAGAAATCAGGACACTGTGCATTGCGCACCCAATCCCCAAATCGAGTTGGCCGCGGCCCCATGTTGCTCTATTTATGAAAATGCCACTGTCGTCCTCTCCTCCGTCTTCTCCTTCCTTCGTCCTATCTTCATCGAGACCGACTCCTCCATCGTTCGATAGAGGAGGCGAGAGAGGAGAATCGACCTTCGATTTCTCTGAAGGTTGCTGCGGCGTTGATGAGCTTAGGTTCCTCTTAGATGCGAACATCACGGGAGATTGGTGATCGTTATGAAACCCTAATTTTGGCATAGGAGACTCGAGGAGAGAGGAGAGGAGACGCTGGAGCTTGCTCGCCATTATTTTTTTTTGGGTTTTGATTCGGGATCCGCGAACTGAGAGAGAGGGAGGGAGGGATGGCGAGAATGTCGAGCTCGTTGCTGAAGAGGACGGCGTCGAATACCCTCCTCGGGGTCTCTCGGACGTTCCAGCCGTGGAGGCGGTAGAGGCTGTCCATGGTGAGAAGCCTGAGAAAGGGGTTTTTCTTGCTTTGATTTTTCTCCATTTCCCCCTCTTCTTGCTTCTGGTTGCTTCTGGAGAGAGAGAGGAGAGAGGGATGTGAGGGGATTCCTAGAGAAGGGGTTGCTTCTGGAGAGAGGGGAGAGAGAGTGAGGTGTGGGGATTCCGAGAGAAGGGGAAGTTTGAAATTTGAATCGGTTATCTGAGAGAAGCTGGAGGTGGGCTCGGGTTCAGAATGCAAATGGGAGGAGAGAGAATTACTGTTCAATTTACTGTAGCATGAACAGGAATTCTCTGATCCTCCCATTTGTATAGAAGAATAGATAAATAAAAATATAAAAAACTGTAAGTTATATAACTCATGAAAATTAATAATTTTTTATGTACATATAATAAATTTTCATGCATAGATAATAAGTTTGTATTTGTTCCAAATAAACCAAAATTAGCAAAAATAGTGGGTTATAAACTTATAGGGCATGAAAATTATAAATTTTACTATACACAGAATAAAATTGCAGTCATTCAAAATGAATAAACATTATAAAAATTTGCTAATTATAGCTCATTCAAAATTTAAATTTTGATGTACACATAATAAATTTGCAGTCACTAAAAAAGTCTAAAAGTTATAAAAAATCATGGGTTCTAACTCATGATAAACATGAATTTTGATGTATACATATTAGATTTACTTTTGTTCGAAATGAACAAAGTTTGTTCAAAATCGTGGATTGCAGCTCATGATAAACGTAAATTTCAATATCCATATAATTAATTTGCATTCATTCAAAATGAATAAAAATTTATACAAACTGTCTGTTATAGGTCATAAACATTGCAATATTTTATACACATATAATAAAATTATATTCCTTTGAAATGAATAAAGAATGACAAAATTTAAGGATTAGCTAATAAAAATACAATATTTAATGTACACCACATAATAAATTTGCATTTGTTCGAAATGAAACAAAATTAAAAGAAATCATGGGTTCGAGTTCATTAAAATCATAAATTTTAATTTACACATAATAAATTTTTATTCCTTGGAAATGAAATATTAAAAATCTTGGATTATAACTCATGAAAATTATGAATTTCAAAGGATGCATAAGAAATTTATATTCATTTAAAATAAATATTTTTTTTAAAAAATTTATTAGTTATAGCTCATGAAATCTGTAAATTTTAATGTACACATAAGAAATTTATATTCTTTTTAAATAAACTAAAAATTGACGAAAATTATGTGTTAGCTCTCATGAAAATTATAAATTTTGATGTGCACACAATAAAATTTTATTCATTCAAAAAAAAATTTAATAAAAATCATGGGTTATAGCTCATTAAAAATTGCATAATTATATGTACACAAAATAAATTTGATTCATTCTAAACAAGTAAAAGTTGATAAAATTTATGGGTTATACCTCATAAAAATTTTGAATTTCAATGTACACTAATAAATTTTCATTCATTTAAAATGAAATAAATTAAATTGGAAGCTCATTAAAATTGTAAATGTTGATGTAGATATAATAAATTTATTCATTTAAAATGAATAAAAATTATCCAAAATTGTGAAAAACTTGAATTTTAATGTATATATAATAAATTCGTATTCATGAAAAATGTGAATTTTAATAAACATATAATAAATTTGTATTCATGAAAAATATGAATTTTAGTGTACGCATAATAAATTTATATTAATTTGAAACGAACAATTTTTTTTCAAAATCATAAGTTATAGGTGAAAAAATTATAAATTTTTTAGTACATGTAATACATTTACATATGAAATGAACAAAAATTGTCTTATAGCTCATGAGAATAATAATTTTTAATGTATATATAACAATTTTTATTCATTTTAAAAGAATAAAAATTAATGAAAATTGTGGTTTATAGCCCATGGAAATTATAAATTTTGATGTAAAGATAATTAATTTATATTCATTTAAAAAAACCAAAATTGATAAAAACATGAGAAATTATAAATTTGAAGTACACATAATAAATTTGTATTCCTTGAAAATGAATAAAAACTATCAAAAATCATGGGTTTAACTCAAGAAAATCATGAATTTTGATGTATATATAATAAATTTGCATTCTTTCAAAACTAATAAAAATTGATAAAAGTTATGGGTTATAGCTCATGAAAATTATCAATTTTGATGTACATACAATAAATTTTGATATAAAAACACTCTAAATTTTTATAATTTGCAAATTCACAACTATTAAACATTACATTGAAATCTAGGAATTACCAAAATACATTAAAAATTTTCAAACTTTGGAGGGGTAATTTGCAATAAACTAAACTTTAAGGGTTTTTTTATAAATTTCAAATTTAATAGATTTTTAATTAGTTATGTTCTTATAAAAAAAGTTATGGGTAACATTTACCATAAAAAGTTTTTCCTAAATCTATACTTTTAAAGGGATTATGATATTTTTTACAAATTTTTAATTTTCTAGGAGTTGTTAGTAATTTGTATATTCATTTTAGTGTCTATAGATTAGAAATTATCATGGTGTTTTTTTGTAAATTATGAATTTTAGGGTTTTTTATAATTTTTTAAACTTATAGGCCTTTTCTATAGATTGTAAATTATTTATAGACTATTTATAATTCCTATGTTTTTAATTTACTAATGAATTTGAAATTCTCGGTGTGTTTTTTATAAAATTTGAATTTTGAGTGTTTGTTTATAATTTGTAAAACTTTAAGAGTATTTTTCTATAAATTATAAATTATGTAGGGGATATTTGTAATTTTTATATTTTTAATGTATTATTAGATTGAAAATTATCAGGATTTTTATAAATTTTATAATTTTGAGGATTTTATTTTATAATTTGTAAAAAGTTTAGTGTTTATTGCAAATTCCATTATTTTTTTTTTTTTTTGGGGTGGGCGGTGGGGTTTGTGGTTGGGAGTTTTATTTGTCTTATTTGTGTGTTTTAATATGTTTATAGGTTTGAAATTTTCAAGGTGTTTTTTATAAATTTTAAATTTTAGAGGTATTTTTGTAATTTTCAAAGCTTGCAAGATACTTTCTCAAAAGTCAAAAAAAAATTAGTTTCTAGCTAGCATATATTTTTCAGATTTCTCATTGAATTGAATAAGTAAAATTTATAATTTTTAAGATGTTTTAATAAAATTTGAAATTTGTAGGGGTGTTTTTATAATTTAAAAAACTTAGAGGATATTTTTTACGAAGTCCAAAAAAATTTAGATGCTAGCTAACATATGTTTTTTAGATTTCTCAGTGAACTGAAATAAATAAAGGATTTGAATTATATCAAACGTATCTTGTTTATCTAAAAACATGTTAAGTCACATTATAAATAAGATAAATCATTTAATTACCAATTCAAAGAAGATAGAATAATTAGAATAGATAATGACAACAATGTAATATTCAAAAAAAGTTAAGGATAATATTGACCATGAAAAGATTTTCCCGAACTCGTATTTTTAATGGGAGTGTATTTTTATTCATTTCGAACGAATGCAAATTTTCCTTCTCCTTTGTTGTTTGTTATGTGCGCAAGCAGTAAGTTTGCATCTTTCTTAAAAGCATTAGCAGTCAGATTGGCACGACGGAATAACAGTAAAACCAAAAACAATTACATCTTTATACGCCAAACTCATATTCTTCCATTTCTTGCATTATAGATGGACTAATCACGCCACGATTGATTTTTTTAAAAGATAGAACAAAGGAAAAAAAAAATTCTAATGAATGACGTCACATATATGAAGAATGATAGCTTTGACTTCTGAAAATTGTGGTCACAGTCGATGTAGTAAGCTGGATATGGGTTGCCATCCCATAAGCCATGGCCTCTTATTTGCAGGCAATGCAAAGTTCAGCTCGAACATCTCCTTGCTCACATTTCTGCTCTCACAGAAACCCACCAAACGAGCCACTATATCAGCACTCTCCTCGATGTGAGCTCTATTGTCAGTATCAGTCCAGAGCTTGTTTATCAGTTGAAGCCTCCTTTGCTTGCCATCGAGGGGGATATCCCATTTTCTGTACAATCGCTCTCTCTCTTCTTCTGTCAGGCGTGAGTTCACTCTCTTCGAAAGGAATTCTCTTTCTTGTTTCAATGCTTTTATGCTGCATTAAGATTTGAGGAAGGAGGTAACCAACTACGATGAAGCATTAAGGATGAAACAAATTTCCAAAACATTTTTATGAATAAATGATCTGTACTTGAAAGTACACTACACATGTAATGAAAAATGTACGGAACAGAAAGAAATGCATCAAAAGGCACCAGTGACTTCAAAATGTTTCATCTATGGTCTAGTACTATCACAATGGATAATCCTTGCCTTTCATTGTTTATGTAATGAACATACCGAAGAATGTTCAACATGAGGGAAGTCATTTGAATTCTTGGGTTACAGGAAGCCAAAAAAGAATATTTTCATAACTGAAAAGAATCAGGAAAAGTCATCCATATTTGTAAAGTTTCTTTAAGGGTTGTTTGTTTGAATGTCCTGTTTGCGAGTGGATGAGAATGCACAGGAGCTTTGCAGTCATTTACATATGATCACATATAAATTTCTACAGGAATTAGTTAGTAACATTTTGTTGCATGATATGTGAATAATTGATTGCTAGTATATGTCAATAACTTGAGACTTATGCTTGTTAAAAGTTCAGAGCAACAAGTTGCAAAATTGTAGAATAATAGTGTTGTTATACCTCGATGAGAGAGAAACCATGGTTTCCTCTCCAGTATAAGCAGGGCTTGCATCTCCAACCTCTGAAAGGTGCTTCTGCAACCAAGTCAATCTTCTAAGCTCCACCTCAATATATATCTGATCAGCTGGATCACCACGGAATAGCAAGTAAAACTGAGTTCGATGTATTATTGATACATGGCAAATATCCCATAAGTCAATGATCTTTTGCATCTGCTCATTAAAGATTGCATGCCATGTCTGAGGGGATTTATGCAGCTCAGAAGTATGATCATTATCCTCCGATGCGTCAGTTCCTCCCGCCTCATTTGCTTCTAACTCCAACACCTAAAAATATACAAAGAAACATAAGACTCTACAACTTCTGATTGTGCATACATTAGGGCCAGATAAGACAATATAGGGAAATTGCTTGAGTTCGATAAATTTATATGAATAGTAACAAATCATTTTAGGGTATAACACAAATATCTAACGTTTCTTATGTTTATTGTAATACATGTGAAAATAAACATGTTTATTGTAATACAGATTATGAAAAGAGAACACTATTTTCACAAAAAAAAATTCATGATTACTGTCAACTTCCAGAAATAATGATTAGCGAGTGTATGATAATCGGCAATGTTTTATAAAATACCTGGCTGAAGAAAAAAAGGCATAAATTAAATAAATTAAATTCAATAATTTTGTAATACTTAGTGCACTAAGAAATTATAAGATTAATTTGCAGACCTGGCATACTAGGAGCTGCTTCTGGTACTGAAGTTTAGCAACTCGCTCTTTAAGCTCCGTAACATATGCTTTAATACTTCTTACATTTTCCTCTGCTGCATTTTGGAACATTTTTTGCATCTTCCTCATGTTCACAGAACTTGAACGCTTGTGGCGAGGTGTGCTTTCTCTCGATGAGATGTCTCCACCATCATCGCTCTTGGTAGGAGTAGCTTTCTCTGAACACAATACAGCCTCATGAGACAAGTTCGCCTCTGGAGCCTTGTTCTCCACCTCAGTTTCCAGCACATTACTAGAAGATGAGAGAGGAGAGCAAGGGGATTTTATAAGATGTGGACGGTTTATAGTTGTGCTTATGTTCAATGGAAGCGTTTTCTTCTTCTTGTTCTTGGGAGATGGTTTGAGAACAGTCTCATCGAACTGAAAATTACTTGGAAGAGACATCACTAGCTTGTCTATCGATTTCTGGACATTCTCTAACTGCTGCTCAAGATCAGCAATAGTGCTTCCCTGAGAATGGAGTCTTGTGATTTCTTCCTTAAGGTTGGTACCAGGGTTCTGGCCACATTTCAAAATTTCCACCCCAACCTCTTTGGTTAGAGATTTGACTGAACGCATTTCTTTAATTTCGGCTTGAAGTTTGGCAATTGTTTCGGCAGCATCTTGATTCCCTAGCCGGTGGCAGGCCACCTCTTTTTGTAAGACTTCAAGTGCTCGGTTTGCTTCCTGCCCGAGCTGCTCCTGCAAGTGTTCGAGTTTGCGAATCTCATGCATGAGCATGGTCGGGGCAGTGGATGACTGCCTCATTGGGTTCTTTGTTCGGTCTACAGCACGAACAGATGGACCACAAAATGTGAGACATTTTGCTACTTGATGAGGTGACTCAGATGGATTTAACCCCTGAAGAAAAATGTTATGCAGGTAAAAATACGAAATCTAAAAGTCATAGAAGGGGGAAAAAATAATAATCCGAAGAGAAGCGAGTAGTTTCTTACAGTTTTCTTCCGCAGCTCATACAGTTGTGACTGCACAAGATCTCTTTCCCGCTTTAGTTCTTCCATTTCCATTTCCATCTGGTCAACAACAAATAAGCAGTTACACAATGACAAAAGAATGTTCATGTCAACAGATGGTTACAACGAAGTTTAGCAGAAAGTGTTCCTAAAGACTATCTATCGAAAGGAAGCTATGGAGTCCAATAAATCTAAGATTGTTTCTTAAATATGGAACATTTACCAATTTTTCTTGGAGAATTTTTAATGGAGGGCTGTTTTAAAAAAAATAATGAGCAAAATCAACCGTTTTCATAAATAATTTATAAATTCAACGTTTTTTTTAGCCACGTTATCAAAGTTGAGGAGGTCGATTTTATAAAATGTGATGGTCAACAATACACAGCACTATTAATCCCATATAATTAGCCAACGCTAATTAAAAGATTAAGTTACTCTTTAAAATATACACGGGACTATTAGTAGAGAATATATAAACGATAGCTCAATTCCAGCAGCACCCTCTCCCTCATCCTCCTATCCTAACCCTCGCCCGCGGAATCGCCTTTCTGAGGTACGGAATCTCTTTACCCAAATCAATGTCTTAAGCCAGATTGTGCTCTTGTTTTCTTGTAATTTATGAAGCCGATCGATATGGGTTTTTGTAGTTTTTAAGGGAAAAATGCTTCCAGCCCCCAAAAGCTAAGGAAACGTGCTTCCCACCCCTAAGACTTTGTTAATTGGTGTTTTACCCCCAAAAATAAAGATTCTGTTCCCTGAGCCCCAAAAGACAAAACTCAATAGATCAAAATATGTGAAGACCATAATTAAACCCATAACCTTAACAATTAACCCGTAACCTTAACAATTAAACACGTAACCTTAATAATTAAACACGTAACCGTAACAATTAAACTCGTAACCTTAACAATTAAACCCGTAACCTTAACAATTAAACCCGTAACCGTAATAATTAAACCCGTAACCATAACAATTAAACCCGTAACCTTAACAATTAAACCGTAACCTTAACAATTAAACCGTAACCGTAATAATTAAACCCGTAACTGTAACAATTAAACACGTAACCTTAACAATTAAACTCGTGTTAAGATTACGAGTTACGATTTAATTATTAAGGTTACGAGTTTAATTGTTAAGGTTACGGGTCAATTGTCAATGTTACAAATTTAATTGTTAAGGTTACAGGTTTAATTGTTAAGGTTACAGATTTAATTGTTATGGTTACGAGTTTAATTATTACGGTTACGGGTTTAATTGTTAAGGTTACGTGTTTAATTGTTAAGGTTATGGGTTAATTGTTAAGGTTACGGTTTAATTGTTAAGGTTATGGGTTTAATTGTTAAGGTTACGGGTTTAATTGTTAAGGTTACGAGTTTAATTGTTAAGGTTACGGTTTAATTGTTAAGGTTACGGGTTTAATTATTAAGGTTACGGGTCAATTGTTAAGGTTACAAATTTAATTATTAAGGTTACGGGTTTAATTGTTAAGGTTACGGGTCAATTGTTAAGGTTACGAGTTTAATTGTTAAGGTTACGGGTCAATTGTTAAGGTTACGGGTTTAATTGTTAAGGTTACGAGTTTAATTATTAAGATTACGGGTTTAATTGTTAAGGTTACGGGTCAATTGTTAAGGTTATGGATCCCTTCTCTCTCTCTCGTAACCTTAACAATTAAACCTGTAACCTTAACAATTAAACCGTAACATTAACAATTAAACCGGTAACCTTAACAATTAAATACGTAACCTTAACAATTAAACTCGTAACCTTAAATTAAACCCGTAATCTTAACAACAAATCCGTAACCTACACAACTCATAACCTTAACAACAAACCCGTAACCTTAATAACCAACCTGTAACCTTAACAAACAATGCACAACCTTTATGTTAGGAAGAAATATTTGGAGGTGATGGAGAAAGTGTTTAAGAATTCGGGAGACAATAGAAAATTTAGGAAGAAGGAGATTTTTATTTCTTTTGAACACCTTAGAACAACTTGGAACTTCTTAATTACAAATGAGAGGGAAGGGGAGGTATTTATAGCCTCCAAAGTACAAAATATCTAGAATATTTTAATCCTAAATCTAGAGAGTTCTAGCATAATATCTAGAATTTTATATTACAATTATCTAGAGAAATATCTAGATATTCATTCTCTATAATTTTCTAGAACATTTTAAGGAGGTGAAGATGTTTAGATATTTCTAGAGAAAACTCTAGAACTTGGATCAAGTATTAGGTTTGGCCCAACAAGTGATAATTGGATTATTGATCCAATAATTAAACTTGGTCCAAAATCAAGTTTACTTTTCAACACCCCCTCTTAAACTTGATTTTGCTACTCCAAGCAAACTCCTCATCTTGATAAAATCTTCGCGCTTGAGAGGCTTGGTGAAGATATCAGCTACTTGATCATTCGTCTTCACGTATACTCCAATTGAACGTTCCTCTTGGTAACACACTCTTTAATGTAGTGATAACGAGTGTCAATGTGCTTACTTCGATCATGAAAGACTGGGTTCTTCGCCAAAGCTATTGCTGACTTATTATCCACTAAGATCTTCGTTGGCTCCTTTTGTCCAAAGCTATTGCTGACTTATTATCCACTAAGATCTTCGTTGGCTCCTTTTGTGGCAAACTCAACTCCTCCGTAACCAAACAGCATGTCAAACACATGAAGTAGCCGCTACATACTCCGCTTCACAAGTAGAAAGGGTGACAATTGGTTGCTTCTTTGACATCTATGTGAAAGCTGTATCTCCAATGAAGAACACGAATCCGCTTGTGCTTTTTCGGTCATCTACGTCTCCACCCCAGTCGCTATCGCTAAATCCAACAAGCTTGTAATCGTCAGAAACAGAGTAATACAAGCCAAAGTTTATGGTACCTTTGATATAGCGAAGTATCCTTTTAGCTGCCTTGAAATGAGTTGTTGTTGGATGCTCCATGTATCAGCTCACAACTCCGACTACATATAGGATGTCAGGTCTTGTGCACGTTAAGTAACGTAAGCTTCCAACCAAGCTCTTAAATAGTGTTGGATCTACACTCTCTCCTTCTTCTTTCTTTGACAATTTGGTTCCACATTCCATTGGCGTGCTTACTGGATTCGAGTCATCCATCTTGAACTTCTTAAGAACCTCTTTAGCATAGCCTTCTTGAGTAATAAAAATTCCATTATCTTCTTGTCTCACTTCAATTCCAAGGTAGTAAGACATCAATCCAATATCGGTCATCTCGAACTCCTTCGTCATCTCCATCTTGAATTCCTCGAACATACTTGGATTGTTGCCTGTGAATATCAAGTCATCTACATACAAGCATGCAATCAATATATCATTGTTTTGAGTTTTGATATAGAGTGCATGCTCATATGGACACTTGATGAAACTTTTCTCCTTGAAGTACTTATCAATTCGAGTATTCCAAGCTCTTGGTGCTTGTTTTAACCCATAAAGCGCCTTCTTTAACCTCAAGACTTTGTCTTCTTCTCCCTTGATTATGTAGCCTTGTGGTTGCTCAATGTAAACTTCTTCTTCAAGATCTCCATTTAAGAAGGCTGATTTGACATCTATTTGATGTATCCTCCAATTGTTTTGAGCTACCAATGAAATGATTAATCTAACAGTTTCTAGACGAGCAACAAGAGCGAATACCTCGTCATAGTCGATTCCCGCTCTTTGACTATAACCTTTTGCCACCAATCTTGCCTTGTATCTTTCAACTTCCCCTTTAGAGTTCTTCTTTGCTTTGTACACCCACTTCACACTGATCGCCTTATGCCCATTTGGAAGTGAAGCTAACTCCCATGTCTCATTCTTTCATTTGGAAGTGAAGCTAACTCCCATGTCTCATTCTTTTGTATCGCCTTGATCTCTTCATCCATTGCATTTCTCCATGTCTTCTTCTTCATAGCTTCTTCGAAATTCATGGGCTCGCAATCCGCAAATAGACAAAATAAAGTAAGATTGTCTTGATTTTCAGTTACCTCGTAAAGTTCTTGCAGACTTCTGAAACGTGGAGTCCTTTCGCTCGAACTTTCATCTTCTTGAGAACTCGTTGTTGGTGAAGTTGGTGGGGTAACAGGCTCCTCTCTTGGTTGCTCCAATTCATCTTCTTCAACATGTGGAAAGAAGTTGTAGTCTTCATCATTTGATCTCCAATCCCATTCTCCTTCTTCATCAAAGATGACATTTCGACTGATGATTGTCTTCTTTGTATCAGGATTATAGAGCTTGTAGCCTTTGGAGTTAGCATCGTAACCAATAAAGATGTACTTCTCACTTTTGTCATCTAGTTTGCTCCGCTTCTCGTCCGGTACATGAGCGTGAGAAAGGCTTCCAAAGACTCTTAAATGAGAAACATCGGGCTTCCTTTCGCTCCAGGCTTCCTTTCGCTCCAAGCTTCTTGTGGTGTTTTTTCCAAAATACTTCTTGTTGGAGATCGATTTGATAGATAAACCGCGCATGCAACTGCTTCTGCCCACAACTCTTTTGGTAGTTTTTTACTTTTGAGCATGCTCCTCGCCATTTCAAGGATTGTTCGGTTCTTCCTTTCCGCAACTCCATTTTGTTGAGGGGACCTCGGTACTATCAATTGTCTTCGAATACCGTTATCTTCACAATACTCCTCCACAGTCGGATCTCATGGCTTTGATCACAAGGTCACTTTCCTTCTCAACATGGGCTTTGAACTTTTTGAAGTTTTCAAACACTTCAGATTTTTCCTTCAAAAAGTAAACCTGTATTTTTCTTGAAAACTCATCAATAAAGAGAAGAAAGTAGTTACTTTTACCGAGTGATCTTGGTTTGATCGGGCCACATACATCTGTATGTATGAGTTCCAATGGCTTCCGCGCTCTTGTGTCTGATTCCTTTGTAAAGCTCATTTTGAATTGCTTTCCAAGTAGACACCCTTCACACACTTGATTTGGATGGTTGATGCAAGGCAATCCTCTCACCATCTCCTTTTTAGAAAGTAGCTCTAATCCTCCAAAGTTGAGATGCCCGAATCGAAGATGCAAAAGCCAGGACTCCTCCTTGTAGCACATCTTGAGACATTGTGCGATGTTATTTTGAATGTTAAGAACAAACATTCTATTCTTTGACATCGGCACCTTGGTAATGAGATTGTTTTCTTGGTCTCTTATAGAAAGGTTATTATCCTTTAATCGAATATCATAACATTTCTCTAAGAGTTGTCCAAGGCTCAATATATTGGTCTTCATGCTTGGTATATAGTAAACGTTGGAAATAAATTGATGATCTCCATTCTTCAATCGGATGAGAATATTTCCTTTACCTTTCACCTCCATCTTCGATTCATATCTCCCAAAGCTACATTTCCTTTCACCGATTCATCAAGCTCCACGAACATGCTTCTTTTCCCGCACATGTGATTGCTTGCACCGCTATCGAGGTACCACTTGTGAACCTCATCTTGTTCATCTTTCTTGTAAGCCATCAATAGCATATCATCTTCTTGGCTTCTTTCTTCAACATAATTGGACTTCTCTTCAACTCTATTATTGTTCGGAGCTTTGCATTCGGAAGCATAATGTCCAATCTTTCCACAATTATAGCATTTAACGTTTGACTTATCGTACCTTGGTTTTTGATTTCCTCTCCCACGACCTCTTGATGAGCTTTCTCCTCTTTGGTTGGTGTTGTCATCATGAGGCCTCTAACCTCGTCCATTTCTATATCCACGACCTCGTCCTCGGACTTGACCGTCACCTCGTCTTTGATAACTTCGTCTGCTTTCTTCTTTAGTTTGATCAATCCGCATCTTGAGTACTTGTTCTGCAATATCTTCCTTCTTCTTTTTTTCTTCATAAGCTTGTAACGACCCAAGAAGTTGCTCCATCGTCATAGCCTTCAAATCCTTTGTTTCTTCAATGACAGTGACAATATGCTCGAATTTTGGATCCAACGATCTAAGAACCTTCTCCATGATTCTCACCTCATCTAACTTCTCGCCATTTCTCTTTAGGTTATTAGTAACCGTTAAAACTCTTGAGAAGTAATCGGAGACGAGTTCACCTTCCTTCATTTGCAACGCTTCAAATTCTCCTCTTAGAGTTTGAAGACGTACCTTCTTGACTTGATCTGCTCCCTTGTAAGAAGTTCGAAGCTTCTCCCATGCTTCTTTGGCCGTCTTTGCTCCCGCGACCTTCTCGAATGTATCTTCATCTAGACCTTGATAGATTAGACAGAGAGCCTTCTTGTCTCTCTTCCTTGAGTCTCTCAAACTATCCTTTTGAGTTTGAGATAGACTACCATCATTCTCCGGTTCAATGAAGCCTTTCTCGACTATCTCCCACACGTCATGTGCTCCTAGGATAGCCGTCATTCTTAGACTCCAATTGTCGTAGTTGTTCTTTGTGAGCATCGGGACTTGAAAGGGAACACCGTTACTCGCCATCTTCAAGGGAATCTTCTAGCTCTGATACCACTTTGTTGGAAAGAAATATTTGGAGGTGATGGAGAAAGTGTTTAAGAATTCGGGAGACAATAGAAAATTTAGGAAGAATAAGATTTTTATTTCTTTTGAACACCTTAGAACAACTTAGAACTTCTTAATTACAAATGAGAGGGAAGGGGAGGTATTTATAGCCTCCAAAGTACAAAATATCTAGAATATTTTAATCCTAAATCTAGAGAGTTCTAGCATAATATCTAGAATTTTATATTACAATTATCTAGAGAAATATCTAGATATTCATTCTCTATAATTCTCTAGAATATTTTAAGGAGGTGGAGATGTTTAGATATTTCTAGAGAAAACTCTAGAACTTGGATCAAGTATTGGGTTTTGGCCCAACAAGTGATAATTGGATCATTGATCCAATAATTAAACTTGATCCAAAATCAAGTTTACTTCTCAACACCCACCCCCTAAAAAAACACAATAATAAAATAATCCTCATCAATCATTTCAACTATCATCTCAGTACATCATGATAAAGAGAGAGAGAAAACAAAAATAATAAAATAATCCTCATCATATTTTAATAAAAAAAGAAAGAGAGAAAGAAGGGTATTATGGTCTTCACATATTTTAATCTCTTGGGTCTTCACAAGCTAGTGTTTTGGGGGCTCAGAAAATAAAATCTTTATTTTTGGGGGTAAAACACTCATTGACAAAGTCTTGGGGGTGGGAAGCATGTTTCCTTGGTTTTTGGGGACTGGAAGTATTTTTCCCTTTTCTCTATTATTTAACTGAAATGGGCTTTCGTTGGATTCTTGAACAGCAGATTGGGTTTTTTGTTAATGGGTTTTAGAAATCTTGGGCTGGATTTTGTTAATGGGGTTTGGAAGAAATCTTGGGTGACGGTGGAGGTCGAGGTCGTGGGAGGAGGAGTTGAAGGAGGAGGGGGAGAAGAGGAAGGGGAGGGCGGAGAGGGAGGAGTAGAATGTGAGGAAGATGGCGACGGCGGAGGAGGGGGAGGAGGTCAAACAAGGGTGCTCGAGGAGGCAGCGGTGGAAGAGGGGCTCGAGGGAGAGGATGAGGGTTGAGAGGATGAGGGAGAGGGCGCTAGAATTGAGCTAGGGTTTATATACCGGACTAATTGTCACGTATATATATATTAAAAGAGTCACTTAATCTTTTAATTAGCGTTGGCTAATTATAGGGGACTAGTATTCCCGGTATTGTTGAAGATGACATTTTGTAAAATTGACCTCTTTTTCATCGGTCTTGATGATGTGAGATCGGGTCGATTTCACAAATTACTTATGAAAACGGTCAATTTTGCTAATTATTTTTTAAAACGGTCCTTTTTAAAAATTCTCCATTTTTCTTTGGTGTTTCAGGATTTCTTTATTTTTATGACTAATACTTTTTTCTGCTTGTAATTGGAATTGTTCGAAACGGATGCAATTTTTTTTGTGCAGAACCTTGATTCCAACTCTGATCCAGATTCTCTCTTTTTTTTTCCAAAGTTTTTACCTTTTTAATCTTCAGCTCTTTTTCCATCAGAAGGGCCTCTGAACACGATGATGCTGATGGTTCCGGTGTGCGCAACTCTGCTTCTAGTCTAGCAACTTCCTTCTGTAGGTGCTTCACTAATTGTTTATCTGATATAACCTGGTCAAATTAAAAATCATGAGCAGAAAAATGGCTGCCGAGAGTCAAAAATGCGAATGCTTCTTGATTTTCTACATACCATATTAACTTGCGCGGTGTTGGTGACTTCCTTCGCACAGGTTGCAAAGAAGAGAGTGTTCCGTGATTGTTCTACATGGGCGAGTGCAGGACTCATGGTACAGATAATTGCAGTCCTTGCATTTCCTCCGAGTGAGAGCTGCAAGATTCGTGTTAACTTTGAATCCCTGTATGGTACGTGGCCACTTCTTTTTCCAACACTGAAATGAGTGAGAAATCAAATTATCAGAAAACCGAGTATAATTCAACCTTTATATTCTACTGATAACAAATAGCTGGAAGTGGGTTAGAGTTTTCCTTTCGAAACACGTACTTAAACGAAAAGAAGATTGCTGAACTTGAGGAAAGGCAGATGAGAGATAACGCTCTTGATAGGGAGGGGACGTTAAAGATTTGACAAAGTTAGCATCGAGAGAAAAAGGTTCTCTCCTATAGTGCAAGAGGTTGGATGGACCCACTTTATTTGCAAGAAAAAGTAGCATATGCTTCCTAGTATCATAATACAGCAATTAAACTAATACAAATAAGTAATTAGAATTCTTTGAAAAACATAGTTACATGAGCACAGTGGACTTCAAAGCTAAATCAGCGAACCAAAAATAAGTTCAAAACTGCCTATATAACGAGGTCTGGGCTTAGAAGGATGCTGCATGCTACCTCCATCTCTCTGTGTCACACACACTGTGTTTGTGTGTGTGTTCCCACGCATCTTCATAAGATGTCACGTATCTAATGATATTTATCCTACTGAAACTAATATAGACTCAGCATCTGGTCATGCAGCAGACAGTGCTCGTGCTCATGGGAGAACTGACGGGGGCTCCTATCAAAGTCCTTCATTGAAGATTAGCTCCTACTCTTAACCCTCCTTTACCAAGAAAATAAAATGAGTTCTATAACAAACCCTTGTTTTATTCATCTTATTTTGCTTTCAAAATTCCGGTCTGAATGACCCATTAATATTGTTCATAGGTTTAACGTGCTTATTTTAGCATCTCGTTTGAGACGTGTTGGCTACAACCACATGAAGCACTCTCTTCCTTAATGGACCAAGAAGGCAGAAGCCTCCGTTACATGATCCAAAACTCTACTGTTGGGAGCAAATAAGTCAAATATGTCAAAGCTTCATCAAGCCAAACAGTTCCAACTCAGTGAAATTATAGTCTGGGGGATAGACAGTCAAAATTACCTACATTTCCATATTGCTTCTGCCAAACGAACAAGCATCAAAACACAAAAACTAAGGAGAAATGAAGGAGCAACTGTTGGACTTGATGAAGCTATTGTATTCCACTGATTTTAAACCATGTCGAACTTGATACTACTTTAGTACTTTTTTATTTACTTCCCGGAGAATGAAGGGAAGTGACCGGACCTGCAATTTGGCCAAAAATATCTGATGCACCCATCTAAATTCTAGACTTGAACCTTGTGTTTCCAGATATTCCCCTTATTCAATCATTCACTTCAAGCTCATATTCTATGATCATGGAAGTTGAAGAGAATAACTAAGGAGAAATGAAAGAGCAACTGTTGGAAGAAGACAGCCAAGGACCAAGTTTAAGCAAGAAAGTATGTTTCTTTTGATGCATGCATACATATTAATTCTCACAACGCTACCATTCTCTCCCAGGACACATGATGTTTTTGATTTCATTAATTTTCCTTCATTCACCAATAACTTACAGCTTCTGTTTTCTTTATTGACTAATCCTAGTTGAGAGCTGAGACATGTTCAAATAAAGAATACGTCTAGTTTAGCACCCAACATTTATGATGAACAAGTGTTCAGGCTTCCCAGTACAGAACCAGTTAGTGAAAGTAACCCCTGACCTGAGCTTTCTGATGACAGTTGTGAGAGTCAACAAGCTGCGATTTATGTGGCAGCCTTCTTTCAGCCTAGCACCATCAGCGTGAGTTTGGGAGGCCCTCTCACTCCCTGCAAGGTCCACCAAGTTCTGCAGAACTTTGAAATCTAGGCATTGACATATCATAATATGGCATTATGAGGTTTAAATTGAAGAACAAAGGAGGCACGTACGAGGCTAGCTACAAAAGATTTCACACAGCCTGATTTCTCACGTAGGCTACTCTCGACTGTCTGCATTCAAAAATAACAGTAGAATGGCAATTACAGTTATCCTCTCTAACATCAAATTCAAACGTTTAAGAAAATCATTAGACTTACCAGCCTGATTATCTGGTGTGATCTAGAGCTGGTGTCATTCAAGGAAGTTTCACCAACCTGCCTTTTAGCTGTCGACCATAAGCAATGAATTTAAGGGAGATGCCTAGCAATAAATGATAGTTGCAAAAAGTAACAACAAGCTATATATATGACTAGCAATTTTCTTCATTAGTTTTAGTGTCAACCTTCACAGATGCCAATCAAATGTCTCAAATGCTCATCATCTTTTGCTGTTTCTTCTTCCAATTTCTCAACAATAGTTCCTTTCTGCGCAGACAGTGATATGTAAAGTAAATTTTTGTTCAGACTGTCATGAATGATATGCAAACAATAAGAGGGTGCTATTTTATGATTAATTTTCAGAGAACAATACCTCAGGGTCATCTAGAAGCCGGAGAGGCCCAGATTCCGGCTTTAACAAGTCATGTACTACCTCATTATAAATTTCCATTGCAGAAATCTTGATTACAAAATTCCTCTCTGGAGTCTGATGATCAAAGAGCACGGGATGTATGATCAGTTTTAAACATAAATTAATCGCGCTGTAGCATCAATCCATCATATCAAATACTAAAATCTAATTTTCATCAAAAAAATATTAAAATGTGATTTATAAGAGATTTACAGAACTATTAAGAAAATGAAGCTTACATTATGAATATGCTTGTATATATCGTGTACAGCACTCTCAGTTATCCCTCTCATAGTGTATGTTTTCCCACTGCTAGTCTGACCGTAAGCAAAAATAGTAGCTACGTAGAGTATATAAGAAGACATAAGCATATAAAAGGTTTCTCACTAAAATCAATAGAATAAAAAAGGGATAGAACTTGTGTTTTACCATTAATTCCTGTCAATGCTGATAATGCTACATCCCTAGCTCCTTCTTCATAAACTGTCTCATTTAGACAAGATGCACCAAATACTCTGTCTGACTAACAAACAAAATAAACAGATGGACACCAGAAACATAGTAGCATCGAAGATTACAACATGAACTAAAATCTGCAATTTCGAAGGACTAAAGAGAGACATGACATATTACCGAAGGTATACGACGCTGTGGAACTTGCTCGATCTTGAGAGGATGACGTGAGCACAATTGTATGGTCATTAGCACATTCCCATGCTACTTGGTCTTTTGCTGCTTGTTCTTTCTTGCTTAAAGGCCTCACTCGCACGGTAACATAAATCTTCTCCTCCTTAGTT